ATTGTTTGCCGGAAGACGGACCATAGGACCTCGGCCTGGTCGCTTGTAATGCCTAGACACTCGCAGATCCACTCGGCTTGCGTGTCTGGAAGAAACGGCGGGGCTGAACTTTCGGTATCAACATCCGAGGGGTAGGCAAGGGCAATCTCGTCGCGAATGAGACTGCATATGTTAACGAAGAGCTGAATTTGATCCGTTGTTATAGGAAGTAGGTGTGGATATGTTTCAAGAACAGATGGAATTAATGATATGTCGAGACTCATGACAGCGGAATAGATATACGGCGTGTAGGGATATAACAGACGTTAATCTAATCTAAGCGCAGCGGCGAGGCGACGCGCGGCAGTCACATCGTGGGATTTTTGTTTTAGCACCGCCACTGACGCCGCGCCGCCCAGCCTGCCGCCGCGACTTGCCGCCTTTCCCAGATCTCGGACTTTCTGGAGCACTCGGTGGATCTCGCGGATGTCCTGTTTCCAATTCTCGCGCGTGAGAGCAGCGATCATCAGGCGCTGGTTGACGAGCGTGAACTTGTTCGACCATTCTGCGGGGAGGTCAAGGAAGGAGATTGGAAGGAAGGTGGTGTTAACAGGAGGGTTAGACGGGACGAGGCGAGTGTGGAGGTCAACACCGTAGAGGGATATGGAAGATGCAACATTTTGACGTAGGTCCGTAATCCATATGCCTGAATCCCACAATAGGACTAAGCGATGACGCAAAGTGGCGAGGCGGAGAATTGGCTTACCGGTACCAGTACCATTGTCGAGAACAGCATCGTCACCTACAAGGACCACAGGAGGAAACAGGATGCGGTTGTCGAACACCTCTTTCAGAAGATCGTGCTGCGCATCGAGTCTACAAACCCAGACTTCAGAACAGCCCTCACCTGCGTGCAACCTAGGGTCACGCACCTCTTTGCTTCTTCCACATCTGCAGGCAAGACGTACGAAGCGCCTTCAACCCCATGGAAGGTTCGTTCATTGGCGGGCGTGAAATGGACTGGTTCAGTGGAAGTCATGATACAAGAGGTGGGACAGCTGGTTTATCGGTCCTATTAGGTATTCGACTTTATGTACTTGGGGCATTTTCCACGTTCGATGTCGGTCTATGTTAACGTGCTTGGCTGAGATTGAGATTGTGACAGGATTCGCCGAGCACTGCACTATGAAACAGCTTCCAAGGCCAAGCTTGGGAGAACCGGCACTCGGTAACAAGAGATCCGCCTCGCCGAGGTGACCGAAGCTATATTTGTGAGACGACTTACTAATGCTAGTAATAATAATAGTTCTCTCCAGCTACTTTCCCCACCCGACTCGGAACAGTACAACTCGGGGATAGTTTCCATGCCCGAGCTTCGCATCTGTTCATGGCAGGGCATATAACAGATCCAAAAGCTCTTCTGGTCAGAGCTTGATTAGGTACCGATGTCAGGTGGTGCGATGAGGATAGTCGCAGGTTTCGAAATGCCGTAGAATGGATCGGACTGTAGGTTGTGACGTTTCCTGGTCGCATCACGAGAAATGATTAGCGACCAGAATGAAGGGTGAAGAGACAAATGTACCAGCAGTAGGAATAGAACCCTCATCAGCCTCTGCCATCTGCCCCCTATCTCAGCGCCTGTTCTCTCAGAGTGGGTACCGAAGCCACCCCGGTTCTTTGAACCAACTTGTAAGGAACCCCACGTGAGCGTGTGCAGGTCGGCTTACCTGCTCACATAGCGGATCACTTTTCATGACGCAGCGGTGAGGGCGACCGCCCTCCGTCGTCTGATGACTAAGCAGCACAAACGGTGCAAATGACGAGGAGGGCCACATCACGGGAGAAATTCTGGGCCAAAGCGAGATAGGACAGATTGAATAACGGGTACGGGAAGGTGATGGAGTCGGCTTACAACGGACGAAGTACAAAACATATCACAGATCTAGAGGAAAATGCGTATAAGAGAGAAATATGCCTGTTTCTTGTAGATGATGGCCTGGCACGCTGAACGTCTGCTTCGAGTGCGACCAGCGCGTGTTATTTCTCCTGAAAATGTCGCCGAGATTATATGGCTCGTCAGGTGGGCTGAGTGCATGCGCAAGCAATGCGCATATAATCATGAGTCAGATCAAAATAAATGTAATAGTACGAGAAGTGCGCACCTGGCTCTCGCGAGGGCGGTATCAAGGCGCCCGACGAGCGTTATGTGCCTTAAGAGAAACGTGAAATATTACACGCGTGCAACAGATCACTTCACTCAGCGTTCCCAGCCGCCATAAGTAACTCGTGTTGTCGACACCGTCATCCGCGGATCGGCATTTGTGGTGACCGCCGCTGCGAAGTGCAGCGCGGTCCTTGGCGCTTTGCTCTGAACTCAAGAGCTAGTCCTCCATCAGCGTGGCTGTGTCATAAGGTTTTGGTGAGAAAAGGAGCTTACTGCTGCTTTTCCAACGATCTCATTCCCAGTGGATCGTTCAGTGTCTGGATGCGCACTATGAGCGGCGCGTTCACTGTCTTGCTGTCAGCTCCTCTCCTGTACGACACGATACATCAACGTATACGTACTTAGAAGCCAATGACCTCTCCTTTATCTCGCGTTGTTCTCGGCATGTTTCTTCGACGTGCTTCCAGGTACTGGTTGACTCGGCGAGCAAATGCGGTGGTGGTAATGAAGATGGAGAGACCAAGGAGGGCACCCTGAAGAAGGTGACGGGTGATCGGAAAAGAAAGGTCAGGATAAAAGGATTGGCTATTGAAGGGCATGGTGGTGCTACAAGACGAGACCGTCGGGGGCGGAACGTTTGCGTGTCGGCCCGTGTCACGCCGGGTGCGGTGCGTGGGAACCGAAGAGCGGCGGGACACGAGAGAGATAGGGGTAGAAGACGAGATATGAGAGCGAAGCGAGAAAGATAGAGTTTTGAGAGATTCGAACGAGAGGTTCACCAGAGAGAAGATTGGATTGTGAACGCTACTGATACAGGCCATGTACGTAGAGTTTATATAGTGCTGGAGGATGAACTCCAGCTATGGTAAACGAGAGGTCTCGTTGAGGAGACAAAGCAATCTAGTCTCCCCTAGGCAGACCACAAGGAAGATATAGTCGTTCCTTTATTTATGGTCTGCTACTGTAGACCAGGGTCTTACCGTTTCAAATCGAAAAATGTGCGCGATTGACCAAATGGAGATTCATTTTGACCATAAGGGGATGTCATGACATACCGACGCGGCAGACGTGGAAAGCACAAACGCGAGACTACGCACTGTACTTTGAGCAAGGTCAGGTAGCAAGATATAGCCCTTACTCTACGATAATATATGTATGTAAAATAGAGAAAGACATCCTCGAAGATGTGTTCAAGGCAGCTGTGACTCCTCGTATTCGTGGGAGGATATAGGTGTTGTTGGCAGTGAAGGGGATCGAACCCAGTACGTAGCAAAAGTCGCTGTTGTTGTTAACCGCTAGGCTACGGAACTGCAATTTCGCCGGCGCTGGCGCAGGTATATAAAGAGCAAAGCCCCAACGGGGACCATTACGCCCCACCACCTTCGGCTTGGCTTCGGCATTATATTATCCATAATACATAATGACACGTTTTCTATCTCCCATCAAACAGCTACCTTAAATGGCGAAGAGCCATCTCCGTATGGGCAACAAGATTTGAAACGGTGTAACCGTGGTCTACACCTGCAGACTAAAAGCAATCCCTAGCTAGAAACTATCGTAGTTAGCTAAATATAGTACATGTCGCCCGTGGTGTAGTGATCAGAGATAAGATGAGATAAAAGATTAGTAATGCTGTGCGGCATCCGGCTCGCTCCGGAGCGCTGCCGTCACAGCCCGATGTCGGCCCATGCCGAAGTCATGATGGCAACCGCCGCGGACGTCGCGCAAGAGTAGACGCGCATGTCCATCGACACTTTTTAAATTTCTTCCTCATCATTGCAAGGTGCACACGCCTATGCATCTGACAACTACTCCGCCCGAAGTTTTTCGTGAGATTTGCCAGTATTGCAAGGGAGACTATGAGGGCAACAAAACACTCGCATCTCTAGCAAGAACATGCATCGCATTTAGGGATGAATCTCTGGATGTACTCTGGTCTTCAATCCCTCCTTCGGCATTCTTCTCTCCGCTCCCATCTCGTACTATTATCAAAGAACCCAGGCGGCCTTTAAGCCGTCGCGTACAGTCGATCGTGAGTCCTTTGGATCTAACCGGCTCAGTTGGTAACTCAGCTTTTGAGCAGATCGACTTCGACCCCGCGTCTGTAACGACCTCAGAGTGGGAGATCTTCCACAAATATACTTCAAGAGTTCGAAAGCTTGAGCTAAATGAGACGCATGGAGTCAAGTTCTACGTTTTACCCTCGCTCTTTCCTCACTACTCGAACGTTGAGCGCGCGCTTCCACGACTGGCACATCTCAACGTCTGTCGAAGTTGGGGATTTGAGCTTGAGGGACATGGCGTCCATTGGGAAGTCCTCCAGGTTTTCCTTGTTTCCACCATTTGCTCCTTGCGGTTTGATCCCACTCTCACGGAGGATGCAGTAGACTTCGTAGCGATGATCCCCGCACGTTCCCCCAAGCTTGAAACCTTGACGTTTTCCTACCGTGACGTTGATGACTTGTGGCCCGCTGAAGTCACCTCCGCATTTGGAGACGCAGTGTCCCAACTCCCTCGCCTTCAAGAATACGATGGACCTCTATTATACCATACCCCTCCCCGCGGTCTATCGTCTCTCTCTTTGCTTCAGCGGATATCGCTAGACATGCACTTTGCCCCCATCCAGGGACTTCACCTTTCGCTAAATTCACTTCCGTTTCCGGCTTTATCCGACCTTAAACTTCACATAACGTCTATCGACAACGCGTTAAACTTCTTACACGCTGTTGACTCCGCAGCCCAGTCCCACCGGTTTCAACCGGGATCAATCGCAGTCCATTTCAACTACGTCCCATCTACAGAGGATGTCAACAATGCATGTTCTATTCTCTCTGCCTACCAGCGCTTCAAGCCACTCTCTATCGCCTTCAGGCATGATCCCGTCGAAGACGATGATGAGGAACTTGGGAAGGACGGAGTAACGACACTCGAGATGTTCCGGCCACTCCTCTGCAACACCTTCATCAAAAAGCTCGACTCCGATATTTTCCGCCAAGTATCGCTTACTGATGCGGACATCGTAGAAATGGGCAATGCATGGCCACAGCTAGAGGTTCTCTCAGTAAATGGGGAAACACATGCTTGGGGCCGTTCTCTACAGATCACGCTCGATGGTGTACAGAGGCTTCTGAAGGCCTGCCCATGCTTGTCTGAACTCGCGCTCTCAATCCGTGTTAATAACGCCGAACGCAACCGCCCCGAGTGGCAGCTAGAGCAACTTGACCGCATGGTGGATCGCAGGAACGTAGCGTTGAGGTCGTTCAACGACCTCGAATCTCAGATCGAAGACTTAACACTCTTCTGTATCGTCTTCTCGCAGCTCGCGCCCAATGCAACTGTGGGACCTGAGTGGCAGCAGCCGGATCCACTTTCTCTCGCAGTAAAAGAGGTGCAGGCCATGCGTCAGGAGAGAAACGGTTGTATCAGTGCGTGGAGCTGGGACGAGCTCGACGAACGGATCAATCCATTTGCAATGCAGCCGCGGTATGAGGCGTATCCTTTTATGTCGCACGAGTATTATGCACTAGTAGACGACTAGAGCTTTGAAATGTTGATGCTAGCCGTTTTACCAGCCGTGATTATGATAAAGCTTACGGACTACTGTACTTTTTCGATCTAGCTAGCTTGATTTCTTCTACACGTGATGGGTATGCCAAAGCGCGTCGCATACCAGTCGGACTCTTTCATGACGAACAAGTCCCTGTCGATTAGTGGCTAAATCGCCACGTTGTGGAATGTACAAGACCGTGGCGCCGCAGGTTCAATTCCTGCCAGGGACATCCTTTTGGCTGGAGATATCTCGAGTTCGTACTACTACTGTTGTCCCGAGTGGTCCCTAATCTCAGTGTGTACTGTTACCAGAGAAGCCTCACGTTCCCACCCCTTGACGAACTCCATCGCGGTAAGTAATAGCCGCATCATGCTGTGTCAGATTGTGAGTCGAAGAATCAATCCTGATTTGCGTGGTTGTCTCGCAACCAGCGCCGAGCGCGGTTGTTGATCCCAGTAGTACTCGCTCCCGCTCGGCGTTAGGGAAGTGCACTACACGTTCTGAGAGAAGAGTGATCATGATAGCACATAGAGTTTCGAAACGGATCAGAGCCATTGCACGACAACTGCTTGATATTGCGCATCGAATAAGGGCGGGATATTCGAGATATCCGTTCGGGTAACACGAGTACTAGTGTGTTCATTCTACAGGAAGGAGGGTAGCTAGTATACCAAGCGAATCGTGCCATTAGCCACGGTAGTAAAGATCAAGAGATGGAGGCTGTGACCAAGAATGCCAATGACACCAACGGGGACATTAATAATATTGCATGAATGAATCAATGAATGGGGAGCGAGGCCGGCCGCCGGTGCGTCGGAGATAGCGAGTATTGGGTCGGGTTATACGTGGGAATGTTTACTGCCCCCTTCCCATTCAAACACGCTCAGTCTTTGGTCCAGTGCATCCCACATATGCAGGCTACCCTCACTCACCGATACCTTCCTCCAGACGGCATACCGATGTTCGACCGTTATTACGAGACGTCGGAAAAACCTATACAAGGGTTCTACGTTGGTTCTACGGGAGCACGCGTATACACCGTGCTCATTGGACGAATTTTTCTTGGCCAGCGCCCAGCTCAGAACGTGATCCCTAAGCCACGCAGGGTTGAGACATCCTGAATACACTAATAAGAAGTCAAGAACTCAGAAGAGCATCGCCCTCAGACTCTCGATGCGTCCACTCGTTTTCCTTTCCACTATCGTTATTCTCTTGTCCTCAGTGCATGGCGGCTTGATTGACTTGCCGGACTCCATCCTTTGGCCAGACGACCACGATTCTGGCTGGAAGGTTTCAGCTGCTTGGTACGCCGGCTGGCATACGCCGGCTGGCATGCCAAAGAAGGCTTCCCCCTCGACAAGGTTAGCTGGGAGAAGTATAACACACTGATTTACTCTTTTGCGTACGTTGTCTTCTATCTCTCCGTGCATAGTGCGCTGAAGTTCGTGTATCGCTACATCGATTGAAGCGAGACAATACCAAACGTGCATCATATCACGCTATTAATGGGTCTGATGCTTCCTTGCTTCCTGAATTTGTCAAGAAAGCACACAGGCATGTACGTACCTCACTTTATAGTCTGCTTACCCATTTTTACGGACATCTTGCAGGGCGTTCAAGCGCATCTTGGCGTTGGAGGTTGGACTGGGAGCCGCTGGTTCTCCAGCAGTACCGCCTCGGCCTCGAATCGCACCAAGTTCATCGATACTCTTACCCGCTTTGCTCGGAAGCATCACCTAGATGGTATCAATTTCGAGTGCGCCTTATTTCTTAAAATCTGCGAGCACAGTCCCTTCACCAAACCTCATCCCCAGCTGGGAAGCCCCAAACGACCCCGGCATTGGATGCAACACACACTCTCCGAACGACACCTCCAACTTCCTTGCCTACCTTCAAGAGCTGCGTGCGGATCCTGTCGGCTCTGGGCTCACTCTCACCGCTGCCGTTGGCGTTAATCCCTTCCCCGATGCCTCTGGGAATTCATCGACGAACGTGTCCGCGTTCGCGGACGTCTTTGACTACGTTGCTGTGATGAATTATGGCGTCTGGGGTCCCTGGTCGGCTAGCGTCGGCCCGAACGTGCCGCTCAACGACACATGTATGGATGACCAAGAAGGCTCGGCAGTTAGCGCGGTCGCGGTATGGATGGAGGCAGGTATGCCTGCGCACAAGATCGTGCTTGGCGTCGCGGCGTACGGTCACTCCTACTCGGTTAACCATACGTCGGTGTTTGGTCTAGTGCCGAGTGCAAGTCCAAGTGGGGGAGGATCTCGAAAGAACCTGTCACTGGTTCCGTATCCTGCTTTCAATGCCAGCAACCCGCCTGCTGGTGACAAGTGGGACGACCCAGGCAGTGTCGACGAGTGCGGGATATATGAGGATCCTTCAGGCGACTGGGACTTCTGGGGGCTCATCGACGGTGGATTCCTGGATAAGCAAGGCAAACCCCTCGATGGGATTTATTATCGCTACGACGAGTGCACTCATACCGTACGTGTTGCTACCCTCGTCCCACCATATACTTGCTAATCCAAATCTCATCATGCAGCCATATGTCTACAATGCGACATCGGAAATCATGGTTTCGTATGACAACGTAGAGTCATTCAAAATGAAGGGTGAGTTCATCAAGAATAATAGGTTGCGAGGGTTTGCGATGTGGGAGGCTGGTGGTGACTACAGCGATATCCTACTCGATGCTATTCGCTTGACTAGCTAATTCTGAGTTACTATACACAGATCTGAATTGCACTTACATTGAGACACTAGAGTGCATAGTACATTCGCACACCCCAACGTTACCTTCGAGCAATCCTATACTCTGATATTCCACCGTTTCGTCTATGAACGCCGTTGCAACATGCAATTGTCTGAGAACGAGCTATTTACAGATGCGGTATCAAATCAGACCAAGACACAGTCTTGTACACACTACTCGGCATCGTTCTCAAAGATGTGAACATCAGTACAAGAATAACGCCTCGAGCCATAACATACACGAAAATACCAAATCCCGCGAAATAATACTCAATCAGCATCAGCTTTCTGGAGTTCCTGATATTTGGAAAGCGCCAATTCAGCAGCAATACCAACGGTGTTACCAGAGCACCAGCAGCAGGATAAACGGTTATCAACGTCGCAGAAGTGCGCCATATAGTGCTCTCCGCGTGCGTAGGGAAGGCGATGTCCCAGCACAAGAGATGAACCCACCAAAGATGGATGCAGTTGTGAGTCCAGCTACAGTGACCGCCGCGATGGTCTTGTTTCCTAGACGATTGAGGTTATCTCCACCAAAGGTGTTGACGCGCAGACGTTGGTTCAGCCCGATGAATCCACCCGCCATAAGGCGAAAGATGTAGTTGGCCAGGGACATGCGAGTTCTGCGAGACCTTTCCACAACAACCTCTACCGGGAAATTGCTACCAAGCGCAATTTTGGGCGTTAATTACCGACAGCCCTGCTAAAAGCGAATGTACGAATAAACACGTACTGCTCGCAAAGGTCGTCCGGAGGCTCGCTGGGGTGAGTCCAATCAATCCGGCGAGGACATTGCACATTCAGGGGCTTGCGCCACCAGAAAGCGTAGGTGAAGAGGCATAGGATCGAATACGCGAATGTTGCGATTTCGAGCTGCGACGATTCGAGATGGTAGACGGTTCTGGAGATGAGTTGGGTGATAAACCATCCAACTTGAATTAGTACGAGGCCTTTTGATATCCAATCCCCTTTGCTGCAGTCCTTGACTTCGTCTTCAGTGAGATTTGGGAGCTTGATAGTGCCATTTGCTATCTCCCGAAGGAGGATGTATGGAGTGATAGTTGCGTACGGTTTTCCGTCGTGGTAGACCATGAATCCGCCCATGAAAGCAAAGAAGCTATGTGTAAGTGTCCACGATTCGTCTGATGAAAAGTCAATTGAGTCTCGTTCATAGTTCACTTAAATCTCATACCCTGGCCCTTTTCAAAGATCCGTGAAGAGAGCACCTTCGTGTTACTGAGAGACTTGGCACTCGATGTCAAGTATTTCGATAGCTTTGCCAAGGCAGAGTTATTCTGACCTGTCCTACAAAAAGGGCAGTCAAACATCCAAGTAAATATTAATATATGTGGTACTGACCTTTAAAAGGGATAAGGCTAACTAAAAAGATGCGGACGTCAGAAATCGCCAGCCTAAGGATATCGATCTCTGGAAGGTTCAACATTGTAACTGCACATGCGCCAAACAAAAGGTTAGTATTAAGTCGTAATCCGTAGAACAGGTTCTTACAATCATCCACAGCTTGGGGAAACGGAGGGGGACTCTCAAGGAAGATGTAATTTTCGTCCGATGTGGGAAACACCATCTCTCGAGCGGCAGGTGGGTGCACGATTCTTCGTATGCGGATCCGCTCCACAGGGCTTAGATCTAGGTAAAAATTTCGTCAGGTATCCTGGAGTGCTCACAGAGAGAGATTCACAGACCTTCAAAACGGCTCTTCCTTATGCGTCCAACACGCCACTCCTCTGCACCCATGGCCTGCATGATCCGGATCTGTTCTGTGAGCCAATACGCACTAACCCATTGTCGTATCGCCCATACAACTATGAGTTCTGGCGCGATCATGGCCAAAGTCATGATACCAGCTTGACGCACAAACACGCATAGCTGCTCGTCGTCTGGACTTGGGATGTTCGGGTGAACGGCGGTGTATACGCATGCGAGCAACGTAAGAAGACAGCTAGAGATGATGTCCCATGTTGAGCGGTCCGAGATGAAGTTAGAGTAGTCCTCTGGGGAGGATGAGATAGACATTGTCGGTATCATGTTGGGATACTTCAAGACGTGGGGGGCACTTAAGGGCTATGCAAGGGTACCTAGATCCGACAGTCTCTTGGCGGACGCCGCAGTGTACCTAGGCACTACAGAGCGCGATTTTGCTATGGTCATTGACATTCCCTGACTATTCCTCGGGTCCATATCTAAAGTTTGCGATAATTACTTACTTTGATCGTGTTATTGAGCGAAATAACGGCTTATTGAGTACGCCATGTTGCCAGATTTAGATGCATTCCCTGGAGCCTATGTGGGCTTGATGTGGGCACCATTCGCAGATAAGTATGCTGTTTTATCATGATTCCGCTGCCCAAACCTAGGGATATGTATCCCCTGTGAGAAGATAGTCGGTCGTACTGGTGAGCGGTTAGAGAGACATTGGGAACCGCTGCTCCATAGGAGAGCAAGTCAGAGAGACGCAGGCAATTTGCGGGCAGCACGGGACTCGGACACGGTTAGAACTAAACGTTTCCTCGGCATCTTCCGATTGGCCACCAATCTCAGCATTCGGAAGTGACAGCGTTCGAGCTTTGTGCGAAACCTTCATGACATCCCAGCCAAGATCCTTCAGATAACATAAACGCGGATGGTTTGGTTGACTTGGCGGAACTGTGAGCCTGCTATCGCCTGCTCGCTCGCAGCCAAGCGTCATCGCCTTCTTAGACTGGAAGCCGTTAGACTGATCTCAAATCAGCTATTAGGTCGTTTATCCATAGCCTAACTTAGGCTAAAACGAAACGGGAAAACATATATAGTATGGCGGGCAGGAAGAGCCGACACCTGCACTCATCTGCTTACTCCTCATGGCCATCACGGTGAAGACGTGGGGAACATCCGACGCCTCGAAGTGCGTTTTCCTCGTCCACGGCATGGCCGCTGCACCGAGCAGCTGGGATACAGTAGCAACGAAGTTAGCTGATCAAGGTGAGAAATGAACGTACTAAGCTATCCAGTACGGCTACAATCTCTCAACCACATGCAGGATATTACGTCGTAGCCCCAGCTCTCCCTGGACACGGCGGCTCGCCATTTGCTCCCGGGTCCGATTACTCGGTCGCAGGGCTTGCGAATGCTTTACTCCCCTCCCTTATAGCCGAAGCAGAGCATGGCAGACCCATCGTCATCATCGGCCACTCGCTCGGAGGAAATGTTGTCCTTGCTCTCCTCCAAGCGCTCAAGAGCTCCACGACTGCTACGTCTAAGACGCTGCTCAGCACTAGCCTTCCCGTCGTCCTCGTCGATCCTCCGCTCTTTGTGGATCCGGCGCAAACGCCTGAGGACCATCGGATGATAGCGGGAATGGTGAGTCAGCGCAACAAAGGCAGTAAGGGCTCTGGAGAGCAGAGATGCGAAGTGAAAGCGATTGATGCGATCTTCGAGGTGAGCCTATTGCTGTGATGTTAGGTCATCCGTTTGTCACGGCGCTCTAACGCGATCTGGAATTATTTAGCAAAACTCTCCTTGGTCGTTCGCCCACCTACTCGCAGACCTACCCAAGAACGTCTCTCTGTTGTTACTTGCTGCGGATCCGGCGCACGACGCGAAATGCAAGTTGGGAGATGTTGCACCATACATTCAAGGTGCCAACGGCATCTACGAACACATTTCGTGTCAAGTTGTCAAAGGGGTTGGGCATTGTATGCATCTGGAGCGTCCTGACGACTTCATACATACTGTCTCTGAGTTTTTATCGAAAGGTGGTTCTGTGTCAAAGTAGGGAAACCATAGCATTACGGCACGGTTTAGTACGTCAAAGTAATCTTCTGAATAAATCAAACCGTGTATGTGGCTGATACGGTATACATTCAAAAGGAAGCAAGCATACGAGTATAATTATGTTCTTGTGAGCGAAATATTATAAGAAAACAGCCTTCTTACTGCATGCGATACGTCCAAAGTCGCCTAGTGGCCGCCACAATGGTTCAGTATTGGACATGAATGAAGCGCTCTACTAGGTTTGGCTTTCCTTGTGGTAGATTATAATCTGACCTTCCTGGGGCGAGGACCCGACATCGCTTTCTTCAAATTACACGCACACTTTCGCTGAACGCAAAGATTACACGCTCTCTCCACAACTCTCCAACACTGGTCGCCGGACTTCTTGCACGCGTCGCACCGCTCGTCGCTTTCACCATTCCACTTCATTTGGACGAGCGGCTTTTTCACATGATTTCCACGACGCTTGGGTTCCATGATGTCAGCAAAGACTGAGTAGCCATAGATGCAGAAAAGCGGTGCTGACCTTCTCCAGTGCAGGTCTTGAGGAAGGGCGGAAGTCGGAGTCGCTGCTGCTACTGGAAGATGAGGAAGCCCGCCGACGCTTTTTGCTCATCCCTTTACTCGAGTTATTGCTTGCAATGAACGGTTTAGAGATGGTACCTTCAGCATACATCAGCTAGTGGGCGGTATCTTTTGGGAAGAAGGTTGATTCAGCTTACGGCGTGCATCCGTAGGCAAAGACTGAGGTTTGTCGGTCATGATTTCTTTACCTTCCTTCATGTGCGTTCGCGAATTGCGATGAGCCGCACCAGGAACAGCTGCAGAAACCTGTGTTGTAGTAGAAGAGCCCTCGTTCACAAACGATTGCTCTTGTGTAGGCTGCATTGAACGGAAATCAGTGTTAGATTGACGTCCGCGACGCTTCTTGGGTAGTTCTCTTGGCATTGGGCTACTCCCCGGTGGCATACGACGTCTGGTTCTTGGAAAGAGGGTTGGAGACGTAGATGCGGGACGAGCATCGTAGGCCTTCGGTTCTGTAGGTGAAGCCCGATCCTCATGGTCTTCGCCTGCGTGAGGAGCGTGGGGGGCCTTGGCCGCCGAGGGCGAGGGCGAGCTCTCAATGACAATGACGTCTGGGGACGCGTCTCTCGCGTGTAAGTAGGGCTGAGACGACCGTGGGGTTCTCGGCTGCTTCTTTACTCGTGATGCCTCAGGCAAAGCCTTGGGATTGTCGGCCTTTGGATGGGCTGCATACGTGCGTTGAGCATGAGGTGGCAGCCGCAAGAAAACAATGGACACGGTCAACTTACCCTGCACAAACGCGAGTTCGCGATCAAATGCCTTTCCCTCTCGAAGGTGAACAGCAATCCTAAGTGCTGCAAAGAACTGAGACCCTGAAAGCCAGTTGGACGAAAGCATGCTCGGACAGAACAACTTTAGGATCTGCATTTTTTGAAGTTGGAATCGTCAATGGCGTCGACATGGGGTAGCAAAAGGATGGGGTGAGAGCGTAAAGAAGGGGATGACTCACTGCATCTATATCAGAGCCACGAAGATCCGAGTACTTTCCCTTCATCCAACCTCTTGCCTCGCGAACACCAACGTGAACATCCTCGTAACGCGTCGTCTTGAGGGGATTGTCGGAGTCCGGTACGTCTGCGAGGTTGATGAACGAAGTAGTATAAAAGTCGTATTCCTCATTGCTGAGAGCAGAAATGTGAAGGCTAAGAGGGCGCATAGCCTCGACGTGATGGCAAAGAGCGGGTGTGCCACTGACGGAGAGCGAGCAGAGACAGCCCGACGCGACGCATCTCCGCGGTCACGACATGTCACATGTCAAGCTTGTCAAGACGCGTCTGGTGTGGCGTACTAAACAGCAAATGACCCTAGTCAGTGCATGCTCAAGTACTTGTAGAGCAAGTAGTTAATTAGTTTGACATGGTTCTGTACAATAATGGAATTATGTAAGGTATCAACGCGTCTATAATGTTCATTCCACATTCTGCATCAACAGAGCTCCGAGACGTTCACCGATGTTCACAACCAAGTCACGCTCCTGCAACGGACGTCAGCGAGAACTCCGCTTGAGACTTGATCACATACCTCCTCATCTACGAGACGCACAGGGGGTGACATCGCCCGCACGCGCTTCCACTTCTGAGTCGACCGGTGCGACCCACCCTTTGAACACCCCCATCTCCGTCCACGACACATCTCGCAATTCCGTGCGTATGGTCCATCGCTGCCTTTTGCCCTTCCCCATCTGCAGGATAGACCTTTCTCACGACACGCGTCGCAGATTATGCCGGCAGGGTGCTCTGCAAAGCGAATGTGGAACGGGACGGCGGTTTTCCCGGGGCACGTTCCAGGCTCCCAGTTCGGAAGCGCGTCGAGCCACTCGGGGCCTTGTCCCATGGGCCAAATCGCGTCAACGGTGTCGATATGGTGCTCGAGCTCCTCGAGAAGACGTTGAGCGGCTTCTCCCAGGCCCAAGTCGGGAAGGGTGTTCTGGGCGTTCTGCTCGCCGGCAGCCTCGCGCTGGGAATGCGTGCTGGCGAGGAGGGCCTGCACCTGCTCAAGGTCCTTGGGCGGGGCGAAATCGCAGCTACCGTGCGTGCGGTGGTATCTAAGGCCAGTGACTTGCTTGTAGCTTTTGTTGCAGTTGGTCTTGGGGCAGCGGAACGGCTTCGATAGGACCAGGGACGACACGAGGCGGGAGAGAGTGGTGCTCGCGCGGGCGCTGGATTGAACTGAGGTGCTGGATCCGGAAGCTTTGGCGACAATACAGGGTCCAGCGGCGGAGGTGCCTTCAATCATTGACTGTTCCTCGCTGGTGTCAGTCATCTCGTCGCGTCTCCCATTGATGCCTCGCCAGACATCGTCCTCTGATGCGCCATCGCCCCCAACTTGCCCATCCTCCTCTCGTGGTCTCTTGACCCTTTGAGCTGAACGAGCTACATGTGATGTTTCGCCTACACGCCCTTGCGACTGTACCGGATTGGTTCGATGCGCATTGTGTACGCGCAGACCGTAGCGAGACGGGGATGGTTTGACCGCAGGCTGCGACTGTGGTCTATTCTCTGGTGGAATGAGAGTGATCTCCGGAGAACTTGAAGGTTGTTTGACGCAAGGCGTTGGTGTAAGAGGTGTTTGGGCGACAAGAAGCGTGGGAGGGGCGCTGATAGATGGTCTGGCTTGAGCCAGTAGAGCGGGTTGTTGGCTCTGGTTGTTGAGTGTAGAATCGGGTTTCGGACGTGCTGCATTGCCGTGCAGATGGTCAGCGTGAGTTTAGAAGCATAGCCAAAGTAGACGCACCTTGCTCGTATGCGAGGTCGGGATGAATATCTTTCCCTTCCAGTAGGTGGATGCACAGACGAATGGCAGCAAAAAACTGTCCACCAGTGAAAGAGTCGGAAGAGAGCAGTCTTGGGCAGAGGAACTTGAGGATCTACAGGCATGTGCCACTGTATCAGGAACTCCAGCTCGTCGCAACCAACGAATCAACGAGAATGAGACGCACTATGTCCAGGTCTGATGTTTTCAACCTCGGATACTTACATCTTAGCCATGTCCTAGCCTCGCGAACTCCAACCTCAACGGTCTCGAATCTGCCTCCGTTTGCACGCACATTGACACCGTGTTCGAGGTCGGGTAGGTCGGCGAGGTTCTGCAAGGCAGCGATATAGAGGTGGCATCCTTCGGCGTTAAGTGCAGCGATGGGAAGATGAAGCGGTGGCATGAATCTGGCGTGCGAGGCGAGGGAGAACGCGGGAAGAGGAAAAAGCGCGCAGGGCGGACGTAAGGTGGCCAAAAGGCGGGTTCGGACAATGAATAACTTTGCGCTGCTTTGTGCACATGTTCAAGCTTGGCTTGCTGGACTCTCCCGTGCTTACCTTTGTGTTATGTTCAATTTTTCCAATCCTTAGATTTGTGAGCGACTCGGGTGAGTGATGTCCTTAGGTTAGTCAGTGAGTTACATCCCTGCGTGCAACATGCATCGACACAGATGACTGAAGTGAGGAGTTACCTGTACGAATGACCGATGATACCCATCAAGTCTATCTGTGGGTATGTCACTGTTCAAAGATATTTGGATTTGGGTCCAAGGTCTCGGGAGCGTCAAGAGGGTCCTAAGCAATGGGATACTGCAGATGAGATGTTGTCCACCAATGAGCGCTTTGGTGTCGTTCGACGAGATAACGAAACATAGATTCGCCCTTAGGCCGCCTCAGAACCAGCGTTCTTTCCTCATGTCCACCGCTAGCAGGCACAGATTGTTCACGAATATGCAGAGAGCGTACGCAGGAGACAACAGCCGGTGATTCTGAGGGAGAGCGCTTCCGGTCCGACTTTGATAAGACGGGAACAGCCGGCTATCTTCTCACGCTACCACTACGGTTCAGCTTGTCGGCGGTCGCTCTCGGACTACGTTGCTCTCCAGATCTGCAGTCCTCAGTCCTCAAGGCCTCAACCCCGTTGGAGACTCAGAGAGAAATTCTCGCTATGAACTCGGGAACTCATGCCCCAAATGACCCGGTGAGAAAGTTATGAGAATACGTGAACGTGGTGTACGCTCGGGTACCCCGGCGTTTGCTTGCCACTGATTCATACCCCCAGTCATTAGTTGTCTGTCCCTTTAATCAGTAACCGCTCAACACCTCGTGCATCTCAACCAAGCAATACTGTCTTTCTCAGGCTGGCATGAACTACGAGCATCTACACGTTGATATCGCTCTTTGCCTCGAACAAGTAAGCCTCGCACGAACGTGCAGGCACTGCCTACACTTGCATAGACAACGGTGGCTTCCTTCATTGGCAAGTGTTTGCCATTGATCATCCTAGCGTCTGAATTTTACGGGTCACCAAAATCTATTGAATGTGTGAGCATGCCGAGGTGCCTTGGTCTCAAGCTGCAGTGAATGTACTTTATTCGGCTCCGACATGATTTTTGTTCGTTAACGTGCACCTACAGTCCATCGCAAGCTCGTACCCACACTCTCGAACAGCTTTTGAAGATGAATCGCGGAACAATGTCACGAAAGCTGCACACGCCTCTCATCTTCACTCCCACCAGCACTGCCGTCGTGGACATCAAATTCCTCGTGTATGCTGCAGTCAACCTGCGGCATCTAGATTGATCCGTATACCAGTGTGGACTACATGCTAGATCGTTCTATTGCAGCTACATCTTACGTGCGTGATGCTGCCACTGTACATGGTCTCTGTTTAGCAGAGCCGGTCAATGATGTTCACGCCGGCACCGTGAGCTATCTCCAAGTAACATCTCGAGCGAGCGTTTATCCAAAGCGACTATGTTTGAATATGATCGCGTCATTTTCCAGGTTCGGTGGGTTCCTCGCTGTACACCCATGCAAGCTCTGGAGGATTTTGCACGAGGTCCGAGGATTTGTCTCGTAGCATTGCCAAAATACCAACTGCGGCTTTGTTACGGAGGCTTGTCGTGACTACACCTTTTTAGTGCTGCATCTCATGTGCCTGGAGAACTCAATAAATTCGTCAACGAAAGCGTACATCTGTGCTATACATATACGGCCTGCGCTATGTATAAAGTGAGCGATGAAAGCCCCTGATTGAGATTGTCGTAAAGTGGCCAGAGCGGTCGGTCACGATGACAACAGGAAGCGAGCGCCAAAAAACTGAGAACACCCGGGAAATGGGAAAGGCGGCATATGCCGCCGTGGCGGCGCGGCGGCGCGGCGGCAGTGGCGGTGCACATACCTTCAACATTTCTTTGGACTCACACACACACTTTCTCCTTCCCGACTTCTCCTATGTAGTGAGCTCCTCAAGGCCCTAAGAAATGTATCACTGCGTCCAAAATCCTCAGAAGTAGGCGCTACTGCAAAAAGGGCGAAAAAGAAAGTCAAGGAGAACACCGTGATCGTATGTACTTTGTATTCGGCCTAGACGCTTCTTCCTTTCATGACAGACTTATAGGATGATGCACGATTGGCGTACTTTTTAACATGCAGGACTCATCTCACCACTCTTGTCGGAGACTGCATCGTACCGCTCGCCACACGAATACGGGCCAGGCCTCTCGCTACTTCTTGCAGGGACGCACCGAACCTTGGTGTTGATGACGGCCTTCAAGAGCATTTCCGGTGGCATGGTACAGAGTTACAATCCTTTGAGACGGAGCCGTATAAAGGGAGGATATTGTACTCACACAATCTTCCAGAGGGCGGGTCTGAATGCACAAAGCATATGAAGCTTTGTCTACTCGACTTTGCATAAGTAGCTTCCGCATACTTAGGTACGTTGTCAGACTACCCCGCTGGAGCCCATGTGAGAGCTGCATGAAAGAGGATGGAAACTGTGGACCTCTCGAAAGGTGTCCCTTCAAATAGCCCCTGAATACGCGTTGCTACAAGCGCGTCCCATCAATCTGTCGCGCCAAAAGGTACATTCCATGCGGAGTTCCTTGCGTCCATACGTTCTTGTCCGAACTCTGATCGTGAGTACCACCAAACTTCTGCTTCAGAACTTACCTCAGGTTGCTACAATGCATGATGGTGATAGACTCAGAGCATATGTTGCTATGCGGGCTCGTCTGGGTCAATGTCGATGATTAATGCCAATGAAGATGCATCCGAAAATGCGGGGCTTAGCACTATACAGGTGGTGTACGATAACGTAACTGAATCTGCGACTGCGATGTGCGCGCCAAACCTTGGTGTTGCCAGTGGTGTCTAGGATCACTTCCATAATCAGCACTCGATGCTGGATCCGTAGTCATAGGAAGTAGTTGTGGATATGTTTCAAGAGCGTGTGGATTTATGGATATGTCGAAACTTAGTGTAGGGATACAACGTTGGCGGATTCAAACACGCTCAGTCTTTGCTCTAGCACGCATAAGCGTGGCGGCGAGGCGACGCGCGGCGGTCACATCGTGGGATTTTTATTTTATACACCGCCACTGACGCCGCGCCGCCCAGCCTGCCGCCGCGACTTGCCGCCTTTCCCAGATCTCGGACTTTCTGAAAAAACTGCCCCCGGGGCGGGAGAAGCGTGTGAACCGCGTTGCAACGTGGACAATTGTCACACCCCACATTAATGCGTCCCATGATAGACGGTATCTCCCCAGACCACCGCCTGCATCTGAGCTTCCCATGAACTATTGGACTGCATATGAACGTTGCTTGAACGTTTGTACGTGCTAGGCTCTCAGCATTGCTTGAGGGGCCGGCTGACCGACTCGACGTCGCATCTCCTTAGGAACTCTGACATGTGTTCGGACACGACGGAACCTTCGGGTTTGCTTGGCGGTGGTTATCATGAGAAGTGGGTGTCAGAGGAGGAAGGTAACAAGGCGATTGTGGTATGTCAGCATCCTTTTTGTGCCCATGACCTGACTACGAGGGAGGATCAACCTGCCTAGAACGTCCAAAAGAAACTGGACCGGCGGCCTATATTTACACCCTCCTTGCTCTTGTTTCCCGTCGTATCCTCCCGGCCATCGATTTCAAAACGCGTATGCCGCGTTTCTAATTCTGCCCATCACTCCGTGCAGCGATTCTGCCTCGCGATTTTACCACAACTTTCGTCGTTATAACCTAGCCACCACTCTGCCTCTGCCCACAACGCACAGCGGATCCCCCATTCGACAACCATGTCTATCTCGCTCAAGTCGGAACTCGAGACTTGGGCTTCTGCCCTCAACTCCTATGATAACAAGGACTTTGATACTGCCTTGGACCTCTTTGCCGTGCGTCACTTGCTCCACCCCACCACTTGCTGACTGACACATGATTATGCCACCTCCCTCATAACTCTCGTACTCAGCGCATCGCCGAATCGTCCAAGATTCTGACCAACATGGGTCTCATATACGCTACCATTGGCGAGCACGAGATAGCAGTGGAGCAGTTCACCGCAGCCACCGTCGCTGACCCTTACCTGGCCGTTGCGTGAGTGTCATTGTTCTGTTGTCGCGTTTCCTTGTTCCTTTTTTCTCTCGTTTCCTTGTCTCGACTCCCCTTCCGCTACTCGCCTCGCATCTCACACGCACCTGCTTGCGCATATACCCATACACCTGCCCGCTTTCATTTACTCGTATTATCATCATCTCCGTGCGCGATCGGATCTGTGCCTTGAGGCGCATACATTCAACAAGCTAAACCTTGCTTCAATGAATATGCACCCGAGAACCCCACGCTAACGCGCACCGCACTTGCTCAGGTACTTCCAGTCTGGGGTCTCCAACTTCCTGATTGCACGATACGAGCTCGCACTTCGCGACTTCGAGGAAGCTTTCCTCTACCTCCGCGGTAATGAGGACATGTGCGTCTCCTCTTCTTCCACCTCATGTCCTACCTTCCTTTTGTCTGACGGAACATCATAGCAACTATGAGCAAATTGGACTAAAGTTCAAGCTCTATTCATGCGAGATCCTATTTAACCGCGGTCTCTCGAAGATCAACATGGGATATGTGGAGGATGGTGTCGCCGACCTCCGCGACGCCTCCAGGAATAAGGTCACGGCCGAGCACAACGTCATCGATGAGGCCCTTCAAAACATGGGAGGGGGATACACCGTCTTCTCTATTGTATGCAGCTCCCGTTTCGTGTGTTATCGTTATTGTTCTAACCTTGCCTCGTTTTAGCCCGTGGGCGTTGTATACCGGCCTTCGGATGTCAAGCTCAAGAACGCAAAGACAAAAGACTACATGGGCCGGGCAAAGCTCATCGCCGCTGCCGAAGACCAGGATGCGTTCACGGAGTTCTCGGGCGTCGCACGCAAGCGCACCGTTAAAGGCGAGGATGGATCGCTGAGCAGGGCGAAGACAACGCCTACACCCAGTACGTGAATCTGCATTTCTCCGATATCACTCCCTCGTACAACGCTAACATACGGCACTAGAACCAGATCCAGTAGACACCCGCCCCGTCGCGCCCCTCGGACGCGCAAACACGACACTCAACGTACGAACCATGCCCAGGAGCCCACCCAGTCGCGTAGCCTCGCCGCCAACCCTTCCTTCAAAACAGTATCAAGGCCCGGCACCTACTCAGATCAGCTTCGCCGACTCGGATCGCAACTACATGGAACGCGATCAGCGCGGCCGACAACAACGCACGCCGCCCTCGGCATTCTCGCAGAGCGCGCTCGGGCGAGCCAACACCACTGCTACTGGCATGGGCGGCGGTCTTGGGCGGAGCGGGACCATGAGCGGGGGAGGCTCGTCCACGCGGAGCAGCTCCCTTTCGCGGGGAGGGCCGGGCGCCAATCTCACGCGGAAGGGGACAACGGGAGGGAGCTTGCATCGGAAGCCGACGACGAGGCGGGCCGCGTCTATCAGGAGGCCGAGGCGGATCGAGTATGAAGAGGAGGAGGGGTATGTGAGCGGGGAGTACGAGGACGTTGAGCTGGTTACGATCCGGATCAAGGTACGCCTTTGTTCCTTATCCCCTCTCGACTCGCTCTTTCATTATCATTCCGATTCGGCCCCGTTCATTTCTTCCCTTTTGTGTCCTCTTGTTCCTTCCTTGTTCATCTTGCGTCTTCCCGAGCCCAATCCGGATGTGTGCTTATGACTTTTCTTTGTTGTCGTAGCTTCACTACCGAAATGACGTCCGTGGGATGACGATGCTCCCCGAAACGCCCTGGGAAGAGTTCGTCGAGCGCGTCACCTCCAAATTCGGCACCGCACTGTCGGGGCTGGCAATGCAGTTCAAGGACGAGGACGGCGTGAAAATTAGTCTGCGAGACGAGTCCGACTATGACGCCGCGATAGAGGCAGCGCGCGAGCACGCTAAGGGGAAACCGGAAGGCAAGCTGGAGATATGGTGTACTGATGTTTGAAGTTCCGTCTGGGTGATACTCGAGAGGATCTGGGTTCGGTCTTGTACTCTAAAGGGTGGAATCTGGGATACGTACTTACGAAATGGCTACGCAAGCGGTTTACCTTGTTCTTTATTGCTATAATGTTGTTGTTGTACTTTAGTTCGTATTTCTTACATACCTCGAATGTGTTGATCGTGTTCGTAATGCAATCCTTGTTTTTGCATTGGAGGATTATACGAGTTCTAGCTTCCGATGAATGCCGTCCAACGGGCCGGTGCGAAAATAATGATGAGCTCAGGCGCTTCTTCGGCCCGAGTCCCAACAATCCCACGTAAACTTGGCTACGTTGCACCGCGTTCATTGCTGTTGATCTACGCTGATTGCTTGCCATCGCCTCATATCCGGCAAAGTGTCTGCCTTCCTATATCTTCTCTTTCGTGATACGTAATGACACAAGAAGCTTCGCGGATTATACAAGAAATAATGTTTGCTTCGGAACCACACCGAGGTGATGATCTAAAGAAAGTGTTCGCAAGGCTAGTGGAACCTCAGGAGGATCCAGTATTCGTCCAGCAATGTACCGTGAGTTTCCCTAGCTGACTAGCTATGGGCGGCCGGAAGTGGTCTGATAATGATCTTCCTGGCGACTCTCTAGGGCGCCATTCATGAAGCATTCCGAGTTGATTGGAAAACTCAAGGGTCCAGCACACACTTCACACCGTTTGCGCACTCGTGTATGAACGCAGGTATCGTTCCTACCATGATGGCTATCTCAAAACAGGAATGGCCAACACACAGAGCATACAAAGAGAGATACAATGCTCAGTACTGGGCATTGCAGGGCCTGTGTAATCTCATGCAGAGCGGAAACGCTTCTGAGAAGCTGAGTTTGCTGAAAGAGATGTTGAAAGAGGATGTCGTTGGTGTATTCTTACGAGTAAGTTTCTAGCTGCACTACGAATGGCACTGACAAGATACGTTTTACAGTACATGCGACACCAGTTATGTATGATGCGTAGTCTTGCTGTCAATTCTCTCCGCGCGCTTGCGGACGCATTCTTGGGGCTCCACATATCCTCTGATACTGCAGGCGAAATCATCGAGCTACTCTGTGATTATGCGCTACAAGGGCCGGAGACTTTCATCAGACAGATGCTGGATCCCGCGACGGCATGGCAGAGCGCAATGTTCATGGGTAAAACGGATGTAGGCGCCGACTGTACTGTTGTCCTTCTATGTGATTGATATGTTTTAAAGATAAGTCCCGAAGTCGCGAGTAAAGGCGCTCCGAGGATTCATGCCATGGTTCAAAATAGCGGGATGTGGACCGTACACGGCATTCTTCATACTTTCCCTATCCAACCACGGAGTTTTTGTCTTGACATCCTCAAGAAGAGGCCTCAAATCCTTGACCTTCTTCTGGATTGCGCGATTCTTAATCGACCACCAGTCTATCCAGAAACTCAGGTTCCTGCGACAGCCTGTGAGGTGCTATGTCTATTACTGGACTGGTCGGATTACATTGTACCGGGGCTCTCTCCGCCTGTCCCAACGGTGTACAAGACATCAGAATCGCGCGATTTGAAGGTGATGGCGCAAGCATTATCCGTTTTGACATCGCGTCAGGACTGGAGCGAGAAGCTTATTGAGGTATGGATGCATATAGAAGAAGAAGACATGGAGACGGTTCGACGGTATGCACATTACACCTAGTCGACCATAGATCAAAGGCGCTTACAAATCACGACTAGTCATTTCACCAGACACCTTAACTCTGCTACTACAACCAGCCCACCAGGTGAATCAGAATTTGCCAAACTCTTTACATTCCGAAGTATGTACCGCAATTAATTAGTGGATGTTTATCTCATGACAACTGCAGCCACTTGTCGCGTGTCAATACTGCGTTTGATTGCGTCTTTGACGCATGCATCCCAGACATGTGGTGTCAATAATGTTCAGATCGAGTCTCTCCTCCACCTGGCCTACCGAGGCTGTCACGACCATGTCAAACGATTCGGCGACGCTGACACAGAAGAGGCAGCGTTTGCTCGCCTTGAGTACGATCGTGGCATATTTCATTACCCTGCGGTGTCCCAGTTCCAAGAAAAACCCGTAGGTATCCCATTCATAGTCCTTGAGCAGACAGTTCTTGGCCCCATCGCGCTTATTCGACTACTGGTCGTTCTTGCACAAAGAAGCGCACTAGCTGGCGTACAGGCGCTGCGCAAGGCACCACCCGGGCTTTCGCCATCTACGTCGCTCAAACAAGTTAAACAGATCACGCACCCTGACATAATTCGACGGGCGATTACCATCTCACAGGAACGCATACTTGCCCAAATTCAAAGAGGCCGGAAACAGCTTCTAAGGGGGAAAGATGGGGGAACCATCAATCTTACGGGTGCAATGTTTGCGAGCGCCGCTGAACTCGCCTTGGCCCTCATTGCGCTGGATACGTATACAGACGGCGCTTACACGGAAGAAGTTCGGGGGGTGCGGAAACAGCTTGTCATTGCGCTCGGAAATGCCGCGCAGATTGCACTGAATCTCAGCCAGTATCAGCGAGCGCTACACTTTGCGTCTGGTGCCGTTGGTGCAGCGGAAGACATTTCTGAGGATGAAGGTCTGGATCCTGCTATCATCGAGAAAAACAAGCGGCGTGCGAGTCAAGCGCTTGCTGCACTTCAGCGTCACACATAGAACTACTGTAGTAATAGTAGATGGTGTCTTTGGCCTCTTTCGCTACGAGACCTATCAAAGAGTTTCTCAAGAACAGGGGGTGTTGCCTAGTGTACCTTACATAAACCCCACGTGGGCGGAGTCTGAAAAATGTGACAGGCAGGCAGCCCTCCGGGCCGAGCGCCACAGCACTTGGGCTAGGGTTCGGCGGCGCCACTGCCTCTTTGTTCATTGACGTCCATCGTTCGCCCCTCATCGACACTCACGAGTCAAGCGACAAGATGCATTCTCAAGCCTTCCCTGCCTCTGATAGAGTGGCACCAGTTTCGGAGACTTTGTTTCAGCGGCATCTACACCAAATAATGTCTGCTCCGGAGCCACGCCGATGCGGCATACTGATGGGGTTTTTCTCAAAGCTAATGGACCCTAACGAGGACCCAATGATCACCCTGCAATGCATTGTGAGTCTCGCTGTTGCGCTTTGTAGTACTGCGAAGAGTTGGAAACCGAAATGAGATGCTTAACTGTGTCCCCGTAGGGAGGTCTATCTGAAGAGATCCTCAAAAATCGGAAGGCTCTAGGCCAAAACACGCACTTATCCTCTTTTGCGCTCTTGTGCATAAACGCAGGTGTGGTACCTACGATGATGGATGTTTCGAAACACGATTGGTCGGGACGTCGGGTGCCTATTGAGAGATATAGCGCTCAATACTGGGCGATGCAATGCCTATGCGGTCTGATGCTGAGCGGCAACAGTGCTGAGCGGCAACATGTGTTGAAAGAAATGTTAAAAGAGGACATTGTCGACTTGTGTTTGCAGGTGAGTGTCTGCGTGTGCCATTCATGATGTCATAATGACACGTTCATAGTACATGCGACATCGGTTATGTATCATGCATTACCTTGCCACTAATACCCTTCGCACACTTGCGGACGAGTCCCTCGGGCTACAGATTTCTTCTGACGTAGCTGCAGAAATTATAGAGACAATCTGCGATCATGGGCTACAGGGACCAGAGACTTTGATCAAGCAGATGCTTGATCCGGCGACGTCATGGCAGAATACAATGTTCCTAAGAAATCCGAATGTAACAACCATTTGTATTACTATCTTTCGATAAAATTCATTCTTCTTGAAGGTACATCCCAAAATCGCAATCAAATCCGCGCCAAGGATCCACGCCATGTCTCAAGATAGCGGCATGTGGGCTGTTCATGCTATTCTTAATACGGACCCTACCCAGCCGCGCAATTTCTCCCTTGACATTCTGAAGAAAAGGCCCCATATCCTCGATCTTTTACTTGACTGCGCTATTCTCGACAGACCGTCAGAATACCCGGAGATTCAGGTTCCCTCGACAGCCTGTGAGATATTAGGCCTAATATTCAACTGGCCAGACTACGTCATACCGGGGATCTCTCCTCAGTCTGAGATTCCGACGATGTGCAAGTCATCAGAGGCTCGTGATTTGAAGGCGATTATGCACGCAACGACTACCTTGACAGCGTGTCGTGATTGGAGCGAGAAGCTTATTGAGGTGTGGATGCACATTGAAGAAGAAGATATGGGTAAAATCTACCGGTAAATAGCTGTTAACGACCACTATCCGTCCAAAACTCTGATATGACTTTGCATCAGAAATTACAACGACACAATCATTGCCGCTGACCTGAATACAATCAGCACACCAGGAGAAATAAACTTCACACAACTTTTCGAGTTCCGTGGTATGTATCCTCATTTGATCAAGAAATTAGTACTCATGCTGATAATCGTAGTCAACTGTCGTGTTGCAACATTGCGCTTAATCACAACTCTGACACACCAAGCTCAATCATGCAGCATCACGAACGCCCAGATTGAGTCGTTCCTTCATATAGCTTATCACAGCTGCCAAAAACCTTGCAAGCTCCCCGATCAGGTCGGTGGTGGGGACGAGATGCTGTACGGCCGTGGCGTGCTTCGGTATCCTACAGTTTCTAACTCGCCCACCACTGGCACCAAGACGGGTATTCCATTCATCATCTGTAGCCAAGCTATTCTCGGCCCTATTGCACTCATTCGCCTCCTCGTTATTCTCGCACAAAGGAAAGCAATCGCCGGCATACAGGCACTCAGAAAGGCGCCAGCCGGGCTTTCTTCATCGACGTCGCTCGAGCATATTAAACAGATAACTCATCCAGAAATAATCCGACGAGTCATCACCATTGCACAGGAACGCATCCTCGGCACCATACAAGGAGGCCGGGACCATCTCAAGCAAGGGAAGGAGGGGAAGGAAGGGGGCGACATCAATCTGACGTGCTCATTCTTTACGAGCGCCGCTGAGCTTGCCCTGGCTCTGATCGCGCTGGACACGCACACGGACGGCGCTTACACAGCGGAGATTCGTGGGGCGCGGAAGCAGCTCGTTATCGCGCTCGGAAATGCGGCGCAGATGGCGCTGAAACTCGGGCAGCACCAGCGTGCGCTGCACTTTGCGTCTGGCGCTGTCAGTGCAGCAGCGAACATAGCCGAGGATGAAGGTCTGGATCCAAGCATCACTGAAAAAAACAAGCGACGAGTGGATCAAGCGCTCGCCGGGCTTCAACGTCAACCGTAGTGCTACTTTATTCATCAACAAATGTCATGTTATAGGGCGTCCCCTGCGATGGACAGCAGATGATAACTTCCTCGGGCTATAGAACCTGCATCATGGGTAGTGGGCTTTACGTCCGTATCGTTAAATTGATAATGTACTGAATAAAAGAATGAGACAAGAAACGATCAAATAGAGGGGGAAGGCAGGAGCGTAATATGACAGCAATATGCGTGATGATAAGTTACAATTGCGTGGGTGGATAGTTAGGTAGGTAGGTACTAGCAGACGGGAACGGACGGAAAGAAGGAGACATGAGGTGAGGTAGCGAGCATGCATATGCGGTGTAACGACAAGGATGGTAGCGGACGGACGACAGAGGAAGGGCATAAACAAACTGGGACTCCGTCATGTAGGCCCCGGTGTTGGCCTCGCCTTTGGACTCGTCGACCCAAACGCCATCGGCGAAACGCGCAAAAAGTCCTTTGACGGCGACGCGCTCAAGCTCATCGCCGAATGCTCCGCTCCTCCCGCCGCATTCGCATTCGCGCTCGCACCTGCACCTGCACCCGCGCCTCCGCCACCCGCGCTGGCCGCAGACACCGGAGCCGGCGCCGACACCGCGTCCGGCAGAATCTTCAAGAACCCCATCTGGACGAGAAAGTCCCACACGCGCGCGGTCTTGTTCACGTCGATCTTGACGAGGTCGCGCGCCTCGCGCCGGCGGAGCTTGCCGCCGCGGCGCGCGTACTCGCGCACGAGGGTCTCTTTGATGACGAGGTAGGGCTTGGGCAGGATGCGCAGCTGCGAGCAGAGGGTCTGTTCGCCTGGTGTGAGGAGGTGGAGGGACGGGGAGTTGGCGAGGTTGAGCGGGGCGGCTGCGGAGGGGGGTTGGGTGAGTGGCAGAGGAGAAGGGGGAAAGGGGGCAGAGGTGCGTACGTTGTTTTCGGGGGGCGGTGTTGGTTGCGGTGTTGAGTTTGGGTGTAGATTCGCGCTCGTGGGAGTCGCCTGTGCGTTTGGCGGACAATCAGCAAGAGACAAGGTGATCCGTAAAAAGACGCACGGCCGCCGCGAAGCTGCGATAGGCGTTCGGAAGAATAGTAGTCGCGCGTGAGGTTCGCCTTCGCTTGTTGCTAATCATGACACGAGTCGAAAATGAGTCAGATATGACCAGGGCGGAGGGCGGAGGGCTAGGGGAGAAGGAGAAGGAAATGATATACGCACCCGTCTCTGAAAGTCCACCTCGTACTTGTCAATGTCCCCCGGCGTGAGCAGGCCCATCCGTCGATAATGCTGCAGATCCTGTATTCGCTTCCGCAACATCGCCTCGTCTGTTTCCCATACCTGGATCAGCACCTCTTCTAGACCCTTATAGAACACAGAGAGCACTCACACAGGATATCCGTCGAGAACGCCTCGTAGTCCTCTGCCGTTTGCAGCCTCGCGAACGGCCTCAATCTTTGCAAAATCTCCTTTTCATCCTTTGGCCGCTTCTTCTCGGCCGCCTGCATCTTCTTGTACTCGAGCAGGCCGCGCTCGAACATGACCCCCTTGGCCTCGTGCCGCTTGTCGACGCGCTGGTTGTACATCGCCAGCAGCGTCAGCTTGAATTCCAGTGACGACTGGGTCTCGAATGGCGGCGGCTGGGTCGCTTCGTCGGCGTTGGGGTCGTCTTCACCGTCGCCACCGTCGTGGTTGGTTTTGCTGTGGTGACCACGGCCGTTCAGAGACGAGGAAGGGCCAGCGGACGAGGAGGAGACACCGTTGAGGAGCGGTTCCTCGGGCTTGACGGGGCTCGGATCGCGCTTGATCTCTCCGTTCGTCAGGTGCCCGTTCGCAAGCCCATTGACGCCGTTCACGCCGTTCACGCCCGGCACAGGCGTGACGGACATGCCGCGCCGCTCCTCGGCCATCTTGGCGCGCGCGAGGACGTCGGCGTCGAGCTCGTCCTCGACGATCGCGTCGCCGCCCCACGCATGGCACACGCCGAACTCGAGGTCCTTGACGAGGTCCTCGGCGTCGTTGTCGAGCTCGTGCTCAAACTCGAGGCGCCCCGGGAGGAAGGTGGCGACTTCATGTACGCCGGGCGCGCTTGTGGGTGCGACTTTGGGAGGTGGGGGGAGGGTGTGTAGGGTGGATATGCGGCGGCGCTTGCGTTCGAGGAAGTCGGCGGGATCGATGTCTGGTAAAGGGTCTGATTTCTGGGGAGTGGTATGAGAATGAGGGTAGCGAATATGAGGAATGCATACGCACGGGTAGTGGCCACTCGGGGGAGTCGACATAGACGGTGTTGTAGTGCTTCTCGACATCTTCTCGTGTACGGGTGCCTACGTGCTCGGCGATGGATTGCCAGTTGCCGATGCCCTGGAGGGCGATGCCTTCGAGGAGAAGGAGTTCTCTGTCGTTGTCTTTGATTAACCAAACAGAGATAGTGGGTAGAGGTGATGGCATACTCATCAGCTCCCCAGTCTGCGGTGAATATCGGGTACGAGTGCAGTTCCTACGAGAGTTCCCGTTAGGGAAGGTAGGGTGACGCGGGTATATAAGGAGGGGACAACGCACGATAACGCGGTACGCATGGCCGCGCTTGTGCTTGGCAAACTCCTTGCCTGCACAAAAACAGGCCGGACAGATATCAACGCCATCGCCGGGCTCGCATATAGGGTCGGCGCACTTGATGCGTACGGAGTGGGTAAGGTCACAGAGACAGGCATCGCATTGGATCTGGAGGCCGGGCTCGTTGACGGCTGTGTATTCGTGGCGACGATGGATAACACAAATGGCGGGAAGGCGAGGGGGGAGGAGGGAGGACGGGGTTACATAAAAGGAAGCGTGAGAAATGGCGCATGGGCAGAGGAGGAGACGCGACGCGGGAGAGGGGCTACATGGACAAAAACACGCACTTTGGATCTCGTCGGGCTGCGTCTGGCGTTTGCGGTGAGTGACCGTCATTGCGTTCAACGGCGGGAAGGTCGGGGCAAGATGGGATGGCCCCGAGGATCAGAACAAGAGAATGCACGGCGGAGGGGCAGGGGAGGGGAAGGGAGGTCTGTCCGTGGATACAGGAAGTGTGCCAGTGAGCAAATACAGCATATAGGCAAATAGTTGACAACGCACCTTGGGCCCAGCTCACGATCAGCACGTCGTCGCGTCGTCGGCCGTGTCGTCACCGGTGAGGGTCCCGGAAGCCCCGGCGTTGCCCAAGTGGCTTATGGAGTTTTGTCTTGAAGCACGCTACCCAAGAAAGAAGAGTCCGAGGAGAGTCGATAGGGTGGGGCGAGCTCGTTATGGGCGCCGACGCTGCCCAGGGTGAGGAGGAGAATATTTGGTCATTGTTTGGTGTCCCGCCTGTTGTCCGAAACGAGCCACATCCGGACCCCGAACCACTCTTTTCCATCTCTTCCTTCGCTGGCGTCTTGGTCAATGTCAAGGAATCTGGGACGGGTGTTGGGTTGTACACACGCTTTCGTTAAGATTCCATATGATAGTTTGGCTTATTCCGTATTTTACGTGGCGAGGTGAAATCTGCTCGAGTCGCCATTGCCTGAGGGAGGCCACGGGGTCCTGCGAGGAGAGGCAGCACGCGATCGGAATCCGGACGCGCCGTTAACGCTTTCTCCCCCGAGCGCTCCTTGGAAAGTCTACCACAGCCCACCGCCCCCACTCTCACTTTCTTTCTTTCGCTCTGCTCGACTCTCTTCACCTCTAGGTTACACTTTCTGCAAGGTCAAATATCCTCGCCCCACCTCGACCAGCATGGATGGTCCTACACCCGCCTCCCGCTCCATAGACATCGAACTTGGCGGTCAAGAAATCATCACTATCGACCTTGCGGACCTCGACTCAAATCCAGAAGATGTCCTTGAACTCCTCCGTGAGGGACAGTGCAAGGTCTCGGTATGGGCGCGTCTAGCGAGCGAGTATTGGCGCAAAGGTCATCTAGAGGCAGCAGAGCGGATAGCCAATGCTGCACTGGAATGTGTGTGTTCTCGCTATATAGTCATAAACGTCAAGCGTGCTCATCAGCTCAACAGCGTTACAGAGCAACGGACAGAGTGCTCAGTCACAGCCCATATATTCCTTACTTGCCAACATCCAGATTGCCTATGCGCGTCAAGCGCCAAAGCTCCACCTGCCCGGCGTTCGTAAGTGTATGCGGTGCTTCCAGCCCCAGCTGCCGCTGATGCGCTTGTAGGCGAGGATGTTCTGACCGGAGAGCGAACCAAAGAGGAGTACCACCGTGAGGCTGCGCAGTACTTGAATATGGGGGATAGGGTTGCAGCCGAGGGAGGTGAGAGTGTCGGGGGAGCATTGTCATTTTTGACTCGAGGTGCGTCTATCATCTTCTATTACCCCTTCTCGAAGCGAACGTTCTTTTCTAGGTATACATCAGTTCGCCACGCGCTCAATGGAAGACGCGCTCCGATCCTTTGAAGGTGTTCTTGCGGAGAAGCCCACCAACCTCGTAGCGCTCATGGGCAAGGTACGCTCCTTCTCCATCCCTTCCTTGGACTTCCCACCCTCGGCCGCTCAACTCGACCCTTCGCGCTATCAATAGGCTCGGCTACTGTATGCACGCAGGCAATACCCGCAAGCGCTCAAGCTCTTCCAACAAATCCTCCAGTTGAACCCCCGCTGTCTCCCCGACCCCCGCATCGGCATCGGCCTCTGTCTTTGGGCAATGGACCACAAAGCGAAGGCGCGCTCTGCGTGGCTGCGCTCTGCCGAAGTCGTACGTCACTCGCACGTAACATCCTCTCTTGATTGACAAAGGACTTGGGTCATGGATAGAACCCGACACAATGGTCGACGCAGCTCCTGCTCGGTCTCGAAGCCATCAACGCATCCAAGAATGAGTCTCGCCCCGAAGAAGAGCGCGCAAACTCGTTCCGTGTGGGCACGAAGCACATCGAGCGTGCGTTTAAAACGAACAATAAGAGCGCGGCGGCTGCAAATGTATTGTGTGAGCTGTTCGTGCGCAAGGGAAACTACAAGACTGTGAGTCTCATCTTGCTGCCGTCTCCTTGTTACTCATCGCTGATACAATTACAGGCGCTGAAGCTAGCCGAGCGCACGATCCAGTTCGCGGATACGCTGCCAGTTGTTACCGAGGGATACATCCGCACTGCGCGTGTTCTGCATGCCCAGGGTCATGTCCCAGAGGCGACGAGGCTCTTCATGACCGCCGCGGAGGGCCAGCCGCACCACATTCTCGGTGCGATCGGTCTCGCGCAGACGCAAACTCAATCTGGTGCGTCTCCCACTTTCTTCCTTCTGACCCGAGAACTCAACCCGTCGCTGTTTCCTTCGGGACTGTAGGCGAGATAGCAGCCGCGATTCACACCCTCGACACCCTCGTCCAGCCGCCCAATCCCACAAAATCCGCCGATGCGCTCGTCTTCCTCGCCTCGCTCCGCGCCTCCCCGCGCCCGGGCATGTCCTCGTCTGACGCGGCGCAGGAGAAGGTGAAGGCGCGCGAGCTGTACGACCGCGCGCAGCGCATGCACGAAGAGGCCGAGCAGGGCGGCTTGCTCCGCCCCGCGATCACGCAGAGCACGGCGGTGCACGCGTCTGTCAAGGTCGCTGCTGTCGTCGCGGCCGGCTCGACGTGGGGCGGGGGCAAGATGTGCGGGTGGGTGGCGGGCGATGTGGATATGCATGCGGAGATCGCGAGGCTGTGGCAGGAGGAGGCGCCGGAGCGGACGCGCAAGGCGCTGAGGGATGCGTTGAGGGTGAGCGAGGTGGCGGCGGCTGTTGGGGGCGCGGAGCGGGTGGATCCGAGGCTGGTGAATAATCTGGCGGCGCTGGCGCATATGGATGGGGCGCTGGAGGAGGCGCAGAGGATGTATGAGGATGCGTTGATTAAGGCGAGCGCGCTGGCGCAGCAGGGGGACGCGAGAGAGAAGCAGAACGGGGAGGCGATGGCGACGACGATGTTGTACAACCTGGCGAGGGTGTACGAGGACAGCGGTGACCTGGAGAGAGCGAAGGAGGCATACGATAAGCTGCTCGCGCGGCATCCTGAGTATATCGATGGTATGTACTTTCTCTCCTCTATACAATCGAACACTTACGAGCGTTCGTGTATACAGCGAAGATCCGCCTCGCAGACATGCTCTACAAATCCCACCAGTCCAACGAAGCCCACGACCTCCTCAAACAAGCGCTCACATCACAACCTTCCCATCTTACCCTACGCGCTTATTACACGCACTTCCTCGTCTCCTCCGCTGCGCCGACCACATTCGGGCAGGTCCACATGCAGCCGCTCAGGGCGGCATACAACTTCGTGTACGCGACGCTCAGCGACCACAACAAGCACGACGTGTACGCGCATTGCGCCGCCGCGCTCGTGCACTACATGATGAACCGCGAGATGCTGCGGCCCCCGCTCGACCCCGCGCAGCTCGCAGAGCGCAAGAAGGGCTTCGTGAGGAGCGCGGAGTTCTACGACAAGGCGCTGGTGCTCGATCCGTGCTGTGCGGTTGCGGCGCAGGGCCTGGCGATTGTGACGGCTGAGGACGCGCTCGGGAGCTTGGTCGGTGCCGGGCATTCGGCTGGTAGTGCGGACGAGGCGCAGCGGAGGGTGAGGAGTGCGAGGGACGCGCTGGAGGTGTTTGCGAAGATCCGGGAGAGTATCAGCACGGGTGACGTGTATGTCAATATGGGGCACTGTTACTATGTGCGCGAGGACTTTGACAGGGCGCTTGAGAGTGTGGGTGTTCCCTTCATTTCTGTGTTGTTTCTGGTTTTGCTGACTGACGGGTGGATGTAGTACGAGACGGCGAGCTCGCGGTTCTTCGATAACAAGAACGCCAATGTGCTGATGCAGCAATGCCGCGCTTGGTACGCCAAGGCGAACAAAGACCAGTCGTACGCGTCCATGAAAAGCGCGCTCAAATATGCCGAAATGGTACGTCGGCCTTTCGCTAGCCATCGCGGATCAAAGTTTGACGTGTGCACAGGCACGAGCCCTCGAACCAGAAGACAAGGCCACGACGTACAATATCGCTGTCATCCAGCAGAAAGCTGCTGAACTTCTATTCAATATTCCCCCAGCCAAGCGAAGTGTTGCCGAGCTTGAGGAGGCCATCGAACAGGCGAAGCAAGGCAACAAGGCCTTCGGCGAGCTCACTGCGGACCCATCGGCGGCAGTGCCGTACGACAGGGAGCTTGCCGAACAGCGGATGAAGTATGGCGAAGGCATGCTGCGGAGGGCGGAGGAGCAGATCGCGAACCAGCGCCAGTTCGAGGACGAGGCGCGGGAGAAGCTGGATGCAGTTAGGCAGAGGCGGTTGGAGGAGAGGCTGAGGTTGGAGGCTATCGAGGTTCGCGTCCCGTTTCTCTTTGGTGAGAACACACGTACTCATGTTGGTTGCAGAAAGAGAAAGAGGACCAGCGCCGCGTAGAGGCAGAAGCGCTCCGCGAGACGCGCAAGCGGCAGCAGGAAGAAGCGGCCGAGTGGATGAAGGGCTACGCCGACTCGAGCGACGAGGAGACGCGCGAAAAGCGTCCTCGCAAGCAGGGCGCTAAGAAGGTCAAGGTGGAGGCCGACAGCGCAGGCGAGGATGCGGTCGCGGGCGCCGAGCCGAAGAAGAAGCGGAGAACAAAGAAGCCTGCTTCTGCAGATGCCGAGGAGGATGAGGGCGGTTTGTTCAGCGACGATGGTGTCGACTCAAAGCCTAAGAAGCGATTGAACAAGAAGCGCGTGGTCCGCGATGAGGACGACCAAGAAGCCACGGGTCCACGGAAGAAGCAGTAGTACGCGCCATTTCTCTTCCTGTCTCGTCTCGTTGATCGCTTGCTGATGCGACGTGTTACAGTAAAAGCAAAGAAATCCTCTCGGACACGGACGATGAGGATATGTCATGACCTCTGGTACGATTTGTTCAAAGCTCTTAGTTCTCTGGGTCTCGCTTGCTATCGTTACGCTGTTCTTTCTGTATGCATCATTTATAGACATGCATCACCGATAAATCCACATACGCGGATATAGCATTGCTGCTGATTAACAGGTCTTTCAAGCGTTGCTGGTTGCTATATGTAGAGCAAGGGACACAGAGTGCGGAGCGAACGTCCGTGGTTCTTGGATAAAAACTGTATGTAAACATCGTTGTAGACGTACAGTATTCACGAGGTATAAGTGCTTTATGATCCTGGTCGACTCTCCGGAGACGAAGCTAGATACGCGGCAAAGCTGCCAGGAGTGAGATTCTCATCAAACGGCAGTGACGATGATTCGAAGACACAGGTGATGAGTACCCCAATGTATTTCTTAGGAATATGTTATCTTGTCACTTGGTTCCAATGGTTCATGGCATTGACCTCGTCGTGATTAAACATCTTGTGCTCCGACTACACTAGCTTATTTTAGGTCAGCATAGAGGTTAAACCCATCAAGAGCCGGCTCATTCAAAGAGTCGTGATTATAACTCAGGATGGTAACCTGTCGATCGGGCGCCGATCAGCTAAGCAATCTTCCTAGATCCCAGGAGATGGTTGACTTACGCCTCCGGGTTTCACGTTGAAGTGAGTCCCTACCCGTGAATGTTCATTTCTTCCGGATTTGATAAAGTTTCATGTAAATACCCAACTCACCTAAGCCAAGGTCGGAATTGAGCCATCGAACCACCAACGCTCCATTGATGTGACCGTGAGCAATAATCAAAACGTCCCGTGTATGACTGCTTCCCTCGACGTATTCTTTGTGGTGCTGACGAACCTACGCAAGTGGTCACTTTTGTTCACAATCTGCCTTGCGTGAATAATGCGCTAACTCACCATTGCGATAACCTTGTCAGCGCGATCACGCATCTCGTCGGCACTTTCTCCCCCTACGCACCTATTAACCGCCTATCGTTATTGAGCAGTCCCGTTCAAGGTGAAATGCCACGAACCCATCACGCCAAACGTCCCAGTCTGGCTGCTTTTCTCTGACTTCTTTTGTCCGCAGTCCCTCGTATTCTCCGTAATCCCATTCCCGCACCTCCTCGCTAAGAATACGACTAGGCATGTCAGACGCGGGTATGTTCTCGAATAATAAATCAAACGTCTTCTGCGTCCGACTTCGAGGCGATACCAAAACCGTGCATAGGTCCTTAGGGTCGATAGCCCCTGATATGAATGGGCTACTAAACACGGGTTCCCAGGTCAAATTTGGGTGACTTGACACGTACTTCCTTCACCAATAAGAAGAGGGGCCATCTCTCTCACTTGCTGCTCGCCTCGGGCAGTGAGAGCGATGTCGCTTCGGCCGGTCTGACATGAAGTTAGAATTGGGATTGGAGTGATTCTTCGCGCTCATACATGTCTCCTATGCAATCAAAAATGGACGAAAGCAATGAGTAGCTGCGTACCCCATTAATAGAAGCCAAGAGTCGACAAACCCATTCAATGACCACTCTGTCTCTCCTAGTGAAACGCGATACAGACAGCCGCAGTAAAACCATACTGCTTATCACTTACCATGTCGAACCAGAAGCAGGCGAGGCATAGGTCTGGTCATCGTACTGGGTGTGCAGGAGTAAAGGGCGTTGAGTTTTCGTAGCTTTTGTAGTGACTTTTGGGATATAATACTACATGGAGAGATAGGATGTCATATGTGACGATATGTATGAGTATTGGAGAAGGAGAAAGTAGGTCACGGGTGATGTCAAGTAAAATAGTACATTCGGCCATCGGTCATAATCGGACCTTTTCAACCTCTCCAGTGTCACTATTAAATATTAATGAATTGAAACATAATGATAAGGTTAACTCAAACAGAGATCAAATATAAAAATGTATATATTTGAACAGTCTTAGAACAACAAAAGAGACGCCTGCCCATGGATAGCAGCAAGTTGAACCTAGGCCGATTAACGCACGGCGGGATCCTCATGGCATGGCATGATCTCCAACAACATCTTCGTCATGCGAGACCAATTCAGTATTGTCAACCATCGGTGGTGATCTTTGAAACGCCACTGTGCTGACTTCCTCCCTTGTCACTCTCAGTGAGCCACCATATTGCTGTGTTATGGCGTTTTCTCGAACAGAGAGAATAAGCCACGGCCCTAGAATGCAGAAAAATCCTGATTGCAGGCTTGTGACGATGGAGTTCAGGATGATCTCTGCTATGGGACTCTGAGCAGAATTTTGTCAGATCCTCGGCAGTCAGTCGACTGAGTAGGTGCATAGAACCTACCAGATTGAACTGTGCTGCGTTGTTATCAACGGTCGACAGGATTCCAAAGCTGATTGCCCTATAAATCATGTTGAGTAGTGTTCTTGCTTCAGCAAGGAATATTTACCATAGGAAATATAGCAGGCCTTGTTTGAAAAGGACATCCACGAGACCTTTGAAACCCAGAGCAGAGCTCCGATGTCTATGTTCACGAAGTTGCCAAAGAGTGCGATAAACGAGCATAATGACTAATATCAGCTCGTAGACACAATTGATTGCGTTAGGAGCGGTGTACATCCAGTACAAAAGTTGAGTTGGCTGTGAAACAACACACGAGGGAACCCCAAGGAAAATACCCTCTTGGGCTAACAGTGATTTTCAGTTTAACGGATGATGAGATAAGTCAGTGTACCCACATGTAATTCCGTGAGGCCCCGGGACAGTAATCACAAGGGTTGTAGTGGTGTTGAGAAGCTGGACGAGTACAAATCCTCCCGAAAGAGGAAATAACACCCCTCTGGAGTTCTCGTAAAGCGCGCAGACACGAGCCATCATGACTCCTGAGTACATCTTACTCTCATCTGATAGATATGGTTATTTTGTTGACGTACCTTGAACTGCCACTTGCAAGATTATTGGTAGTATACCGTCCACCAAGATGAGCAATGTGGAACCTGGAACATGGGCCATGATCCAATAGTCATTATCGGAATATTTCTAAATGAAATATCACTTACAGCTTTTTACCAATGAGAACGGCCACAATATCAATGCCTCTACTTGGCAAATGAAGTATTCTGCTTACGCCTACAGATGATATCGATTAGCACAGGCATCTACCATGAGTGAAACTTGGCTTCCTCCTTACTTTATCGGAAACACGGATAGGCATATAAAAAACTGGTAGCAGAGTGAATATAATTTGAGGAGGAGGACGGAGTAATACTACGAACAGATACATGCCCTGATATATTTCTTTATCAGCGAGTAAAATGCAGGAAATTGAGCTAACTCACAGGGAAAACACCAATCCTCCATAGCGAAGCTAAAGGAAGTATGATCATCGTCGGCTCGTCGACACGTCCAAGACTAGAATCCTTACAATTGCGTAGCAATATGACAAGTAGGATTTCCCATGTACCTTGACATGCAGTTGTTGTAAGGACGTTGGATTGATCTGAAAATTACGTACCCATATCAACTGCACCTAGTGAGACATACAACGAACATATAAAAACACGCTACGACTAAATTGTAGAGCTCCTCCTACCTCTCGGTTCATGTTGAGAGCTGTCGTAATCAGCGTCGCACATAGCCAAGGAAAACCGTTCGGACTCACCATAGTCATAGATTACCACAACAGCAAGGGATACTAGAATGGACCCGAGAATAACGTCGTCACTAATATATCACGAAAGTAAGTTGCTCACATATCAGGTAGGTAGTAGGGCGTAATTCTGCCACAACTTGGATAGCCTCAGGAGAGTTGTAAATGATAGTCATTATGATCGAGGGAAGAAAAAGCGTGAATGCAGGTACAGTGGAAGTCTTGTATGTCGTGATGAGTAGTTATATATCTCGCTTACGGCGTACCTTGTACACCAGTGCGAAGCGAGGCTCAGTCTGCTAGCAGGTGATATCAGTAGAAAACATGAAACCAATAGGATCAGCCATATCTACTTCGCGTGTAGTGGGCTAAAAATATAAGACTTTTCATTCAAGACAGTCGCAATCACCATTACTAAATGGGGCCAACAGTCATGTACCACGATCCCGGTGGCCTGAGTAGGCCAGAGCAGGCCAGGCACATGATGAATATAAAACAGCCCTTGAGCCCAATCAATCACTAAAGCCATGTATACCGCCCCACAGTCTACTTCGCTATACATGGAAAAGCCTGAGTTATGTTTGCCTTACATCAACTCGTATCATCCCGGCAAGATCTGTGCAGTTGCAGTGCTCTGGGGATGGGAATAGACTCGGGAGTCGGACATCAGGGATTTTGATAGAACACAGCAAATACTGGGCCGATGGCACAGTCGCCGTTGATGTAGGAGATAAGTAGTATACATGCGGATTATATCGAAGAAAGCAGTGCAGCCGATGGTGATGCGACTTAGTGGCTATGTCAGATATGGATCATACTGTAATGGCTCGTTCAACTCTGCGTACGTGATAGCACGGTCTCACTCCGGTTCACGTACTGCCACGCCTTCTGCAAGAGGTATGCAGTGGAGGGAACAAAAGGCGAGGAAATCAAGGGCAGTGTGGGAGCAATGTTTGTGAGATCGTTTCAAATTCTAATTATTTGCTATGATTCATGAAAGTTTGCTTCTCGCCGACTCATGATGCGGACTCACAACCGGACTTGTTTCCAGTCATAATTGCTCCGTATGATCGGTCTCCGATGATCCTATTGTCGTTGTGCGACGTTGTATCTTCCCCGGGCCGAAGCTCTTTGCTAAAATGAAGTTTTTTTTTTTCGTTCTTGCTTAGATCTTCTTCCATGCGTCTGTGGTAAATTCTGGCGTAAATTTTAGTATATGCTGCTTTCTCGCCTTCGTATCGACGGTTATGTTTGTGTAAGGTTACTCGAAATATGCTCTGTATAATGAAATAAGCCCATTCTTAGAACATCACATTCAAACCAAAATACTCCGATGTTGGATTTGGACCAAGGGACGGGGTGAGTAAGAATTCAAGTGACAACTTACGAGGTGCGAGCGCCCCTGAACTTGACGCGGGAGCCAACTTGAGCGAATTAGCCCCTGTCGGTCACAAGCCTTCTTCGTTCCTGCCACCATCGCCGCAATTCGCTCTACGCGTCAGCACTACATTCAAGGTGAGGTCTCGAGCTGTTTGTTCCAATGATATTAACGGTGTATGGTGAACACGTAGCTATTTCTATAAAATACCGCGCTTACAGTTTCAGACGCAAGGTATGGCTCCGAAACCGCGAGCGAAGTGCCAGATCTGCGAAGAAAACGAGTCCAAGTACACCTGTTCGACGTGCAAAGTAGTATAGTGAGTCAAGCAGTATTGCATGAATGAAAGGACTCACAAACCTTCGTCGTTCAGCTGCTCGGTATCATGCTTCAGAAAACACAAAGGTAACCTCGCTGACGAGGCGCCTGAGACGTTGCTCTTGAGCTGACACAAGTGCCACCTAGAATCGATCTGTAAACCTCAGTCTACGAAAGAGGATGACGATCCACGTTCTCTCCCGGGCTCTATCTCGCAGCCATCTCAAGGTACGTCGCTTGTCTGAGCTTCACTGCAGCCTTATCTGAATGCGAGACAACCTAGCCCCAACAGCCATCCCCGCATCTGCCCCTCCTTCCACTCTGACCCCAAGCCAACCACCATCATCCACCATCGACCAAGATCCCTCCCTACCCACCCCATCCGCCGCTCCCCTCCGCCTACTCACCTCCCTACGCTGGCCCTACGTCGAAGAGCCCTCGGCCTACCCCGACCCACTAAAACGAGACGACCCTAAACCACTGGCCCTGGGGTCATACGAGTCGCTCGCGACCTCCCAAGCCGTACGCGAAGCCCTCGCGGACCCCGATCTGCGCCGCCAGCTGGTGGAGATCGACGCGCTGAGGGGCGAGGAGCGCGAGCGGGCGCTGCAGAGGGCGTTGAACGTCGATGGGAGGGGTGCTGGTGCGTATGGAAGGAGAGGGGATGGCGTGGGAGGGAGAGAGAGGGATGAGGGGACGGAGGTGTTTAGGAAGTTTGCTGAGGCGGTTGAGGGTGCTGTGAGAGAGAAGGAGGCGTTGGGGTTGGACTGGGACGCATAAATCGTGTTCTCAGAGACGCTGCTCGCCGTGAAGGCATCTGACTGCTCACTGGCAACGAGATATTTGTACGACGAGAAAACGATGACGTCAATTGCAAGCGTAGCAAAACAAATCTACGTGCAAATGGAAACATCGCAAGACACAAAAAGCCAAGACAACCCTCCGACAGAAGAAACAAAGCGCGCAGGCGAACGTCGCTGCACCCCTATCCGCCAACAATCTACTTAACACCCAAAAACATCAACCCCCTCTTCGCCTTCTCGACCTCCTCCTCGAGCTCCCGCCCGTCCGCAGCGGTCCACCACTCCGTCGCGCGGTCCATGTCCTCCGCTTTTCTCCCATTCTTGATCGCGGTCTCGAACGCGGCCTTGCGCCCGTTCAGCGCGGACATGCGCCGCGGGTCCGAGTGCCCCGTGAAGATGATGAACGCCGTGCGCGCGGGCAGAGCGGTGTACAGGGACAGCAGATGCGAGTTGAGACGCTCTTGGGCTGCTTGCAGGATTTCGGGGGACGGCGAGGGTGGGGTGGGCTTGAGTCCCGGGAAGGAGGTGGGCGTGGAAGAGCCAGCGATAGCGGGCGTGCCAGGTGTGGGTGGAGGTTCAATTGTGCCTTTGGGTGTCACCCCTGTGGTTCGCGAGCTCGTCAGTACTGATATTGGTCTGATGGTAAGACAAAGAGGAACTCACAGCCAAGCACATCCGCCAAGCCGGTAAACCGCCCAAACGTAAACTCATGGCTCGGCACGACCTGTAGCAGCCCCTTCAACACCTCATCGTCGCTCGCACACCCCACACACGCGTTCGCCTTGCTCCCATGCATCACCCCCGGATTCCCATGATCCACCACAGCACTCCTCACCGTGCCCCCTCCGCCGCCCATCCTCGTCGCGCGCGACATGCGCTCAAAGATGGACTCTGTATCCGTCTTAAACTCCCCAAACCACGCGCCGTTCGCGATCTTGAGCTTCAACAAATCAAGACACGCGCGGGCATCTTCCTCGGGATCGTGCCCGCCCTCGCCGCGCATCTGGATCTCGCGCCCGGCCCACTTCTTGGTGAGCCACGCGAGCCCGGGCTTGAGCGGCCGTCCGCGCGGGTGGTGGTAGATCACGGCGGTATCGATGCACATAGGGTGGCACAGGTGCAGGGCGCGCAGGTCGGACTCGAGGGAGTGGCCGAGGAGGATAGCGTTGGGGCCCCCGCGCGGGGCGAGGAGGGTGAGCAGGTAGGCTTGGACTTCGGGGAGGGTCGTTGTCGCTGTTGAGAGGGACTCTTCGGTAATACCGGACCAGCTGAGAGTGCGAGTACCTGTGAGTGAAGAAACGGGGGTAGGTAACGGGAAGGTACACACCGAGTGAGATAGTCGATGACGGGCTTGGGAGGCTTGACGAGTTTGTCGTACACGACAATGTTTGTCTCGAAATCAATGACGCATACACGCGTGAGTTCCTTGCCATCTTCCGTCAGGCACTGTACGTCAAAGGTCAAGTCAGAAAATGAGGCAAAAGGGAGGCGTGTGAATGAGACTCGCCATTTCGCAGTCGATAGCGTACAATCTCGAACGCTGCCTGTCGTGAGGGAGAAACTTGACGGCCTCAGCATTGGCCTGGGGCACCTCGACCCAGCCGTCGGGCTTTTGGAAGACGTCGGCCAAGTAGGAAGGGACGGGGTAGTCATTCTCGATCATCTGCTGGAGGGTGAGGAGGTACTGCGTGGGGTCTTTGTCGAACACGCGTTCTGCTGCGTCACGCTGTGAGCTATTGTTGGAGAAAAGAAACGAGCGGGGGAAGACGTACAAATCTTGCGCTCTTTCTCGCGCCTGCGCCGTTCGTCTGGGTGGAGGGGGCATTGGAAGAACTGGCTGAGGACAGACCACATGCGGGTCTGCTCGCCAGGTGCACGAGTGGGACAAGCATGGCTAAAGGTTGAGGCTATGAATGGTATGCCGCTGTGATGGTCGGAAGGCAGGGGTATTGCAAGTGGGAGATTGGGGTTCGCGGTGGCAGAAGTGGGCAAGGGCGGGAGATTGATGAAAGAAGGGGTTATACCAGGGACGAGGAGGGCGACGACTTTGTTGATTGAACGCGCTTCCTATGTGTTTGAGATGAGCAAAGAGTATCGAAGGGTTCAGTGAGTTTGCGCGAACCTCTATTCTGAGCCAGTTTGGGGGAGGCGCGTCGCCAACAAGGTGTAGGACGAGGTCTCGAATGTCCTAGGTGAAGGTCTCAGCGGGATGGTGGGCACGAACGGAGTCGGCGCACATCAATGTGGATAGCATCCCTGCGCTTGACGATCTCGCTGTTCACGTACATGAAACGCGGAATTCGTGCCTGCAAGGAGAGGAAAAGGCGGCCCGCCTCGTGTTAGCACAGTGGCTCGCTAGGCTTGTCGGCAAGACGAGATAAGCCGCTGCATATTGGAGCTTACCTCCTGCTTTGCCTCTGCTTTTCTGGCCTTTTTAGCCTTTCTCTTGTCGACGCGTGTCCATTCTGGCGAGCCTGACTGGTGTACTTCGGCGGTTTCGAAGGGGTTTGGCTGAGCGAAGCCGGGAGAGCCGACCTTGACCTTCTTGTGAATTGGAGAAAAGGAACGGTTGGGTGAAGCGGGGACAAAGTCCTGCGAGCGCTTCATCTCGTGTGGGATGCGCCACGGGTTAAGAATGGCTGGAGATTGAAAGGTTCAGTCGCATGTATCGTCGGCCAAACTCGAGGCCTCGACATGCTCTGCCTTTCCAACTCCCGCGCCAACTCACCAACAACCCCCTTCAGTCACCGTGGGAATGACCCACGTGCAATCCCTGACATACGATCTCCGACATTGGTGGGCGATATCATACACTATACAGACTAGATACAAGTACAACTAATGCTACTCCTAGATGAGACCATTTCTTATGATTCCATGTCTCCTAGACAAGTGTGTCTGTTCGCTTGGCGGCATAGAATATGGATTGGGGACCGCGTCGAGTTCGGATGGGCGAAAAGAAGAAATCCCTCCCTTCCTCGGGGCGCACGATTTCCCGGTGCCTACACTGCAAGCAATTCTTAATAATAGTGGCATTATTACTTGAAAAGTATTTTAAATATTAAGGTGAACAGGTTTCAATATTTAGTTCCTCGTTATTTAAAACCTTTATCAAAGACAAGGGTCAGTAACAGGCGCCTTCCTTTCCTGTCTTTGATATATAAAATAATAGTAATGAGGACCTAATTATTGAAACCTGTTTACCTTAACATTTAAAATAAATTTCAAGTAATAATGCCACTATTATTGAGAAATGCTTGCAGTGCTAGGAGCACATCGATGTCGTATTAGCCACAATTCGGGACTCGAGATATCTGCAACACCTACAATTGACGTATATGCGTTATGACACCATTCTTGGTATCCTCGCCATGGTTCAGCGTGTGGTTGCAGTGGTTGCACCACCATGCTGCGATACCTCCAAGTTCCACGTCTGCGTCTTTGACGCGTTTCTCACGTCTAGCGGCATCTTTTTCTGCTTCTTGGGGGATTGACGTCCACTTGGACTCGGCGTGGGTTTGTGCGTCTGCGGAGATAAAATGGGTCACCTAAAGTCCTCGAGTGTGGTCAGAAGACAATGTGAGAGCATAGCCTGCGAGTGTCAACGCACGCTCTGCCGCCAGCTGTACATGTACTTCGAGTCGCACGTAGCTGTGGTAATGGGTTGGCAGTTGCGGCATAAGAACCTCGCCGAGAGCTGGTCTAGCGTCTCCTGGAGAGTCACGAGAGGTTCCAGTCCAAGTAAAGAAAGGAGCGAGTGAACAGCCTCGTGTCCACGACTGCTAAACGCGTAACGACTTTCAAGACCATGCAGATCTCTATCGACGATCCCATTGACACGACTTTTAGACGAATAGCAATGGTGGTTTCGAGCATCGCATCCAAAAAGTGGCCTGTTACAAAGCCCATCTCTGGCCCGATTTATACAATTCGTCTGTGCGCACTGAGTCACGAAGGAAGCGAGGTGGTGAGGGGGAAGGCTGTGATCACTGACACCGACGAAACTTCTTTCTTGTAAGGCAATTTTGCGACACATGAGTTCCTTTTCTTCCAAGTAGGCCGCTATCATTTCCTCGATTTCGCCCATGACTTGAGAGAGTTCCTGAGATATTAAATGAGTCTTCTGATGGACTGTTGATGAGAGTGTTGATCGCAGGAAAGTTGTAGACAACTCCAAGAGGAGGTGAATCCGCCTGCCGAAGCGGTGGAAGACTCCACATATAGTCCACATAATGTTTCTTCACTTCAGAACGTCTACCGGACAAGAGGTTATGACGTCTGGTGACATCACGATTTGCCGCCCAGCGCTCAAGCTATTCAAATACCAAAGGTTCCTCTTTTATCCACTCTGTTAAAGACGGTGCATGGATTGTGCATCAATATGTGTGAGCTTGCTGTAACAACGGCGAACGACGTCTGAGGTGGGTACTGACCTTCATATCTTAGCTCCGTATCGCGACTGAAGAGATGATTGTGGAAAGGTCGAGGATGATGATACTGGACGAGCATAAAATCAGACCAGCTATGACCTAGTGTAGCAATGTAATTCTGTAATCTTATCAACGTCAACTGCTGTCTCGTTCTATCATGAGCAGGAAGTACCTCTCGCAATTCTTGGCGCGAACCCGGGGCGCTTCTTGCTCCCTCCAGCATTCAAAGTCCATGTACCCCTACATCCATGATCATGATGAGGAAAGTTCGTAAACGCAGCAGATCTAGTGGGACTTACCTGAACGTATAAACGAACGAGCTCTTTACGATGATCCTTGTACTCGCTGAGAGCTTGTTGCGCCCCGGGCTTGTTGAGTGTAATGTCTCCTTCTAACGCTCGTAGGGTATCTAACACCTCGTTTATATCCGCGTGCCAGTAGTACATACGGTGCGGCTTTTCTAGCCCACCGCGTGTGAATCCCTCCCAATCAGAGGCGTCTGCAACAATTTAATCATGGGCGTTTAAATGTACAAGGGGACCACTGACATTCGGTAGGCGGAACTGGAAAGGCAGGAATAAGATCTCTTGCTTCACGACGGGAAAGATGATTATTCCGCTTGCGTGACCTGATATGCAGGTTCTTGCATCTAATATGAGAAACATTTAGCATCAAGTGAGCAATGATCATATGAGGATCGTGAACTCACTTCTTCCAAAAGCACTTCTCATACACCCGATGCCCTATCGATAAGTAGACGTCGAGATGCCACTGCGATATTCGATGATTGCAGACCTAAAAACATCTGTAAACGAACAGGTTTCAGTACTACAACCGGCCTCTGGTTTACCTCGCAAGGAGGGTTCTCAAACAACCAAGTTGCCCATCGGAACTCCGAGACCCCGGGCATAGGCGCTGGAATGTCACCGTGCACTTCTCGCGCAGCCTTCCAAATCTTGATAGATTCGCTGGAGTCCGAAATCAACATATCGCGGAAGGCTTTGGCTGTACGACACAGGCGAACCAAATCCGCTGGGTGAAGCTGAGAAAGTACCTGAAAGATTCCCTTGTCATCTACCCGACCGATACGCACAGGCTACATGTACTCACTGCCCATGCAATCTCGATCGGCAAGGACATAAGGTTGGCTGATTCGAGCATCATCTGGAAAGTCATAGCTGAAGCAGACTGGTTGAAGGAAACGCTACGATGGCCGTCATCCAAGTCGCCGATACCGACCACCAGTACTTCTTGTTCTGTTCCCATGATGCTCGAATTGACCAGGTGTGACATTCGATGGCCGGACACAATGGGGGATCTTGGTACGTTTCTCGATCCTTATTCAAGCTGAGAATCGAAGGATAGACATTAGATAGCAGTAGTACTGAGTCGGAAGTCAGCAAGTAGGGGAGAAAGTGGGTGCAATTCTAATCTGAGTCGGTTTTCTCCGCATTCTGCCATGTTCTTTATGTAAGCGTTCAACTAGGTGCTCCCACGATCGGAATCTCCGGAGCGGAGCAGGATATGTCTCCTTGTTCTTCGTGGCCGTCCTGGACCATTTCACCCAGGAATCACAATCGCCCTTGTTTAATGAACGTGAACTTTTGCGTTGAGAAGCCTCGACGAACGTGTCATTGTGCGTTCTTTGTCACCGTTAACGTGGTTTATTGCACAGCGAGGCACTGCTGCCGTGAAACGTGCATGGTACGCATGTGTGATCATTCAACATGAACGTTCTGATATACGGATTAGATACTAGTACAAGGGATACCGCTAATTTGGAGCAGCTATCAACTCTCTACCACGAACCACTATAGTATCGTCTAGTTAGGTGTGCTTGCTCGCTCGACGGCATAGAGTATAGGCTGGGGGCCGCTCCGGGTCTGCGCAGGGGAAAAGAAGAAATCACGCCCTTCCTCAGGGGACAGGATTTGCTCGTGTCTGGGAGCACATTTATCACCTATTAGCTGTGATGCGGAGCTTAGGAAATATGGGACACTTACTGCTCGCGTATATGAGCCAGAACGTTGATTTTGCGGTCTTCGCCATTTTCCAGGGTATGGTTGCAATGGTTGCACCACCATGCCTCAATCCCCGCGTCCAACGTATCTGTCTCCCTGCTACGTTTCTCCCGTCTGGCTACATCCTCTGCTGCTTCATCGGGAAGTAGTTCCCACTTGGACTCAGCGTGCGTTTCTTTGTCGCTAGCGATAAAATGAATCGCCTAAAAACGTAGAGTTTAGTCAGAGGCTTATATCATGAAAAACACGTGAACGTCGGCGCACGCTCTGTCTCCAGTTGTACAAGTACCTCGACTGGTACGTAGCTGTTTTGATGGTCGGACAGTTGCCGCATAAGAGCCTCGCAGAAAGGCGGTCTAGTGTCTTCGGGAGAGTTGTGTGAGGTTCGAGTCCAAGCAAGGACAGAAGGGAGAGAACAGCCTCGCGCCCGCGATCGCTGAAGGCGTAGCGGCTTTCCAAGCCACAAAAGGGCGACTCAGGAAGAGGTCGCGAGTAACAGTGGTGGTTCCGAGCATCTGCCAGCCCAAAGAGTGGCCTATTAGGAAGTCCGTATTCGGCTCGATTGGAACAGTCCTGCTGTGCGCACTGAATCACGAAGGAAGCGAGGTGGTGAGGGGGAGGACTATGGATGTCACTGTCTGCGAGACACTGTACGGCGATGTCGCGACACAACAGGTCTTTTGCTTCGGTGTAGTCTGCGACCAACTCTTTGATGTCGCTCGTAGCTTGCGAGAGCTCATGAGATAAAAAGTCCGTTGATGGACTATTGACGAGGATATCAATACCAGGAAAGAGGTTGGCGACCCAGAGAGGTGGTGCCTCGGCCTGTCGAAGCGGAGGCAACTCCTGCAAATAGTTTTTGTAGTGCGCCTTCACAATAGAACATCTGTTCGCCAAAATATTGAGACGATATTCGGCTTCACGTTCTGCGGGGCAGCGCTCGAGCTGTTCGATAACCAAAGCCTCTTCTTTTTCCCACTCTTTAAAAGACAATGCATCAATTAGACGTCAACACCCGTGCACATATTCAAATAATGAAAGCGCATGAGAAAGACACTCACCTTCATGTCTCAGCTCCGTATCACGCATGAACAAGTAATCATAAAAAGGTCTAGGATGGCGTCTCTTGACAAACATAAAGTCGTCCCAAGTATACCCCAGGGCGGCAACGTAATCCTGTAGTCTTCTCGATGTCAGTTTGATGTCACGGTATCTTAGGGTGGATTAAATAACTCATCGCGGTTACGGGACCTCACTCGAGGACTATCTTGTGTCCTCCAGCGCTTGAAATCATGGTAAGCCTACAGAAATAATTGCACGAGAAAGGTCAATGCATGGGGAATAGTTGTAACAGAATAATATTAGAATTTTACCTGACGGGATGATCTAACAATCTCTCTACGACGATCCATGTAATCCACAAGCGCCTGAGACGCTCCATACTTTTCCAGTTCGATGTCTCGTTTTAATGAGCGTAGTGTAGCCGATACGTCGTTCACGTCTACAGCCCAGAACCCGGGCCTTTCATGTCCGTTATCTCATGGAGCAAATTGGGGATGAGCTCTTCGCCACACAATGCCGGGACTACTGACCTTTAGGTACAGAAAGGGAAATGAGATCGATATCAGGAACATCCTGATTCCCTTCGCGGGACACATCAAACGGGAATATGCACCTAAAATGGGGAACGTCAGATATAACTCGAACGTCTGTAGTATTCTCGTGCGCTCACTTCTCGCGGAAGCACTCCTTACATACGCGATGTCCCACTGATAGGTAGGGATCACGCTGCAACAATGGTATGCGGTTGCCACAGACCTACAACGCTTTCTCAGCAAACGATCTCAACCAACACAATAACGGGCCTTACCTCGCAGGGAGGATTCTCGAACAGCCAACTCGCCCACCGAAACTCCGAGACCCCGGGCATAGGCTCAGGAACATCCCCGTGCGTTTCTCGCGCAGCCTTCCATATCGCGATGGAGTCGTATGATTTGGGCATCAACATGTCACGGAAAGCCTTGCCTGTACGGCATAGGCGAAGCAAGTCCGCCGGGTGAAGCTGAGAAAGTACCTGAAAGATCTCCTTGTCATTTCTTCGATCGATACGCACACACCTATAAGTACTCACTGCACACGTAACCTCGATGGGCAAGGACACACCGTTGGCCGATTCGAGCATCATCTGGAAGCTCGTCGCTGAAGCGGAGTGGGTAAAGGAAAGGCTACGATTGCCATCATCCAAGTCGCTGGTACGAGTCGCTTCTTGTTCTGTCCCCATGGCATACGATGTAGACAATGGGGAATCTTGGTCCGTTTCCCAATCGGGTTTCAAGCTGAGAATCAGAGGATGCAGGAGCTAGCGGTAGTACTGAGTCGGAAGTCAACGAGTGGGAGGAGAAAGTAGGCGCAGTTCTAATCTGTTTTTCTCCGCGTTCTGCCACCTTCTATATGTAAATGTTCACCTAGCTGCTCCCACGCGCGGAATCTCCGGAGTGGAGTAGAATATGCCCGTTACTGTACCGTTCCGTATAACAGAGTTCGAGGTGGGGCTCGTCTTCCATTCCATGGCTGGACAATGGGAATTGGGAATTTTTTGAGTTCCGCGTTCGGCGTTCGCCTTCTAAGTTCGAATTGGGGTTAGGCTGCATTCAGCGTCAAAACACATGATTATGACGCGTCGCGCTACCATTACAATATTGCCCCCCTTCATATCTTCAGACATTTGTGGGAATGACCGACGTGCAAAGAAGGGGAAAGACATGCGCGTGGCAAGGATTCTGAAGGAATGGCCCGCAACGACGCGCGTTTCGGAAGTATTTCACGAATGTCGTGACCGCGGCGCGCGGATCGGGATACGGAAGCATCAAGACTCCGTGACTACTATAAGCTTGCCCGTACCTCGCAATAAGACTCTCCAAAGATTCAAGAGGCCCACCGAGGTTCGGATACACCAGGCATGGGATCTGGGACATCTCCGCGCACCTTCCGTGCCGCTTTCCAGACGCCGGATGCCTTTTGCGAAAGTAGCAGCTCGCGCAGGTGCTTGCTTGTACGACAGAGGTGCAACAGGTCCGACGGATGGAGGTTCGAGCAATTTTGAGAAAATCTGCATTAGGTACGCTTAGCAATTCAACGCAGTAACAGTCATCACAGCAACTCACTAGGTCAAGTACATCCAACGGAATGACGGTCAACGAAGGAGGCTGGAACGCTTGTTCCAGACAAGGGCTCGGGCGAGTGACAGGAACGACACATTCCTCGCCATATTCGCTCTTCCCGTCGTCACAAGTATATGTCGCGTACCTATCTACCGCTGGGGCACTGACCAGCTGCATTTCGGCGCGTCGTCGTAGGAGTTCTGCGTAGGACGTCTCTTCATCGACTTGGAAGTCGGGGTCCGAGTCGTGGTCCTCGGATTCTTCTGAGTCGGAAAACATCCAAGAGGGGCCGAACGAGTTAAGTCCAATTGCGACCATCAAGGTGCTGTACTAGAATTGTAGGCAGGACGAAGTGACTGGAGAGAGAGCGAGTTCAATAATGCAAAAGCGCCGATTCCCCCCCGTCTGTGTTACTTTACGCCAAGAGGTTGCAATGCGGCTACGTGGGAACCATGCGCTTACTTACATTTCCCGAGACTTCGGCGAGACCATTGAGAGAGACGCGACAAGTGCCAGGATAAAATCAATCGACTACAGGATGTATGGTATAAGTAACCACAGGCAGAGAAAGCTCAGAATCCAGACGTAGAATGAATGGCGTCGAGGAGAATGTCGTTGTAATCACCGCCTGCCTCCCAGAACGCCCATCCAAGCAATCCTGCCTGCTTCACGTACGCACCCTTGGCTTTGATCGACTGTGTGTTGTCAAACGAGACCATCACCTCCGATGTCGTGTTGTACACGTATGGCTACATCAAATCAGATGTCAATTCCTCTGCGGCTAGCAATGAGAGCACTCACCGTCTGACTGCAGTTATCGTAACGATAGTAGATCCCTTTTGCAGGGTTGCCCTGCTGGTCGAGGAACCCACCATCGACAAGTCCCCAGAGGTCCCAGTCACCACCCGGTCCTTCATAAACGCCGCACACATCCACGCTCCCCGTATCGTCCCACTTATCGCCGAGCGGTTGGTTCGACGCGTTGAACGCCGGGTACGCGACCAGTGCCTTCGTAGCCTTCGTCGCGCTACTGCCGAACGCGGACGTGGCGTTGACGGAGAACGAGTGACCATACGACGCGACGCCGAGCACGATCTGGTTCGCAGGGATACCAGCCTTTGTCCACGCCTTGACAGCGCTCATGGCCGAGCCCTGTTGGTCCGCCGCGGGCGCGCAGGAATCATCGAGCGGCGAGTTGGGCCCAACGGCGGAGGACCAACTACCCCAGATATCGTAGTTCATGATGGCGACGTAGTCGAGGACCTTGGCGAAACCGGAGACGTCAGACGAGGGGCTGCCAGACGCGTCCATGAAGGGGGCGACGGCTGTTGCAGCAGAGAGGGTGATGTTGGCGCCGACCGGAGTCTTGCGGAGCTCCTGAAGATATGCGAGGAAGTTGGCGGTATCGTTGGCATTGATGGTGTTGCATCCAATGCCTTGGTTGTTGGGGTACTCCCAACTAGCGTGGAGGTTATTATCATAAGAAGGAAATGCATGGACGGACTCTGGTGCTTACTCGAAGTTGACTCCGTCGAGGTTGTACTTGGTCACAAAGTCGGTGACTGTCTTAACAAAAGCAGTGCGGTTTGCAGCCGAACCAACGTTTGTCGAGTACCAGCGACCCCCAGTCCAGCCTCCTATAGAAATGTGTGCCTTGACACCCTGGAAATGGCGGTGAGAATTGAAGCTTCGGTAGGAAAAGGGTGAACGTACGTTCTTGTGAGCTTCCTCAACAAACTGCGGTAGAAGGCCACCATCCGATCCATTGAGCGTCACGCTGTGTACACTTGGTGTCGTCTCGCTACATGAGGAGCGAGGTCAGCGCATCTACGATTGAGAGATCATCTAATGCACGCACGCGAACGAGTAGATCAGGGTATTGTATTTGTTCCACGAAACCTTGGAGAGCGGAAAGCCTTCCTCGGCATGGAAGCCGGCATACCAGGCTGCGGCGACCTTGGCGTCGGCAGCCTTGGAAGCGTAGGCCGGGGCTACAGCAAGGGCGATGAGGACGAGGATGGTGGTGGGAAGCATGGTTGAGGGCCCTCGGTCTGGGAAAACAGATGGTGAGGAGGTGGCTTCTTATGAGATTTTGTCGCGAGGATAGACATAGTGCCAAACTGCCCCTTGCCGCCCAGCGGAAGAACGACAGCCGGGGAAGATGGGAGCGAGAATGTGACCGCCGAGGGTGACATTGACAACAAGTTGACAGGTGTAGACCGGAATCAATACGCGACTGGTGAGGCGTTCAACGTGGCGGTCGACTGTGGAGTAAAATAGCACTAAAACACCATATGGAGACTGACTCGGACCACCCAACGTTGCCTCGCCATGTGAATTCTGAATTGGAGATGTCAAACAAGCGTGTGGTTTCGGACGGATGACATGAGCGTGTCTGAAAGAAGCGAAGATAGTGGGAACTTTGACCAGGATACAATTTGCGTCCACCCCCTATCTTTACTACCGTCTATCTTTACTACTTACTCTACAAGAACGTCGCCGTCATATCACTCGTATGCTAGTCACACATCCCCGTATCCCAGAAATATAGACGTATCTGCCTTTGAGTATTCTATGTGCTTTCTCGCACCGCATAGCACAAAATCATTCTACTCGAATGCGACGAGTTTTGCATCCACTCACTAGTTAGCACCAAGGGCTGAAAGACATCATGAACTTCGCACCGTGCGCTGGTTTCGAGCGACTCAAATCTCTCCAAATGTAGGGCATAAGTTAGACACCAATATATGAGATTAATCCTTATTGACTAGTCCAAACTCGAATCTGACACCGTCTCCCAGTTCGTATCAGAATCATACTTAGATCTGAGTCATTGATTTCGTCCTCGCGCCCAGGCAGCTGGAAGAAAACACTTTGCCAGTCCCTGATGTCCATCCTCTTAACATCCCTACCTCTCTCTAGCATTCGCAGGGAGCCGACCAGATTGCCCAAGAACATGTCGTTCTCGACTTTTACACGCGCGAATATAACCCCAAGCATAATGGCAAGGTCCTTCTTCCACGCGATCCGCGAGTCCAGAAGATTGAGGCTCTCGAGGACCTTGTTTCGAGGGCGCCCTCAACGTGCCTCGACCAGCGACCAGAGGTGGGGTTGAGAAATTGACATGGTGTTGATACGGATAGAGATGGCGGACAAGTCCGGGCATGATTCGGTGAGGGCTAACAGGCCGTCGAAGGTCGCCTCCGGAACACAGTACGTATAGTCTGCGTTCCCACCGTCAAGCGTTAGATCGGCCAGGTTCGGAAGTGACTTCCCCAGCTGCCTAAGATCGCTGTCAGCTAGTGCGAACGGCCTTTGTAGGTGCAGAGCCATGCACTTTAGGTGACGAAGTTGAAGGAGTGGTCTAATGGTTTCCAGGGTGATCGGTGACTTTCCTCCCGCGTTTAAGCCATCTTCAATCGAGTATCTATTTGTTTCGAGACAGATGTCCTCGAGCGATGGAAACGCTTGCGCTACAATCTTGACGAAAACACCGGCATCCTGGAGCTTACGCGCAATCAGCGTAATACCTCTCATCGCCGTATGGGGAGGCGCGGGGGATGTTACGCCCGTCGCCACAGAAGCATCGATTGGCATTGTAACGCTAGTCAACCTCGAGCATTCCTTGGTGAAAGCAAACAGGCAGTCCAGACTGGCGGAGGAAAGAAAAGAGGGAGAAAACTCCAGCTCCTCCAGTCGCGGAAAAGCCTCTGCCAGCTCTTTGGCACCGCCCGGGGACAAAGACATGCTGGAGCCCATGCGAAGCACGAGCTTCCGTAGGTCTCTATGACAAAACAGCGGTCGAAATGTAGTTACGGTAAGCATTTCTCTGTCTTCTTTTCCCTTTTTGGTCATCCCGAAGAAGGTGTCTTGGTCGTGGAGAGCCATCTTTTCCAGGCGTGTCGGCTGACCGTGAGATAAGAAAGTGACTGCTTTTTCGATAGAGGGAGGAGAGAACGAGGAACAGCCGAGTTCAAGGCTCTTAGGAAGAATGGGGAGGGCGCGTAAAAGTGTCATAGTCTCGTCGACATCTTCCGCGTAGAGCGACAGTACCTCTAGGGAGCGAAAGACTTCGTAGCCAGCTGCGCCAAATTGTTTGCGAAATGGTTGACGCAGACTATGAAGGGTCAACTGGCGAATGTAAGAAGAGCTCGAGAGCCTTGACAAGGCGGGCTGCGTGAGACCGGAACAGCGCAAGCCAGAGAGAACATGTAGGCGTCCTACAACTCGAGATAGACAGTCGTCCATTGGTTGAAGGCCGAATACTCCTTCAGTTACTTCCAGCCAATCCAGACTGGGACATCGTTCCGAGACAAGATCTAGAACTCTCTCAGAGTTCCTATTCTCGCCGTTGCCCGTGACTTCCATGCTGAGTTGAAGAAGCCCAGAGGAAATGAACTCTGTATAGTATTGCAGAGTATCCCTTTGAAAGTCGTCGACAGCGCAGAATATGTGTTGAAGGTTGGCAAACGCGGAAGCGATAGTCAAACGAAAGATATCGGACTCGCTTAGCGTAACTGTAAAGTCGTTGCCAGCCTTCTTGCGTTGGGATGAAGTCGACCTAGCCGGAGGAATCAACGACTCATTTTCCTCATTAGAGAAACCATCGCTACTCACAACATCTCCGTATGCGTTTTCCTTCACCGAGTCTGGAAGAGCCGACAGGATATCACTAATTTTGATGGGATCGAGATAGCCCGACCAAACTCTGTTAAGGGAGGGATCCTTGAACACAGTGCAGGTCCTTGCTAGGGCCAGCAGCGCATGGCGTGTAGTCAGGTAGTCGCAGATTTCAATCCTAATATCCAAGAAAATGAGTGCGAGATGCACTTATGCACGGAATCTGGAGGCTGCAGAGCGAACACCTGTCCATGTCAGACACTCGAAGGTGCGATCCGAATCATACTCCGAAGGTCGCGGAGTTCAAAAGTGCCAAATGTTGCAGTGTATTCGTTGCCAATTCGTTGCTCATTCCGAGTTCGTTGCATCCCCTGGCATCTGCCACTGATTGCTCTTCTGAATACTGCAAGATGAAAGAGCGCCAACAAAAGTGGGTATGACTCTGCGGTTATCCCCATAAGTCACTGACGTTTATCTGCCCAGGTCTCTAGTAAACACTGTGACTGGTGAGCGCTTCACGTTCCCACCGATTCACCCTCACTTTACCAACATCTACAGGAGGGGAATGCCCATACGATTCCTTGTAGCGCCACTTCCGAAGTCCCGTGCAGATAATCATCCACTAAGGTACAGATGAAGCTCAAAGCGGAACAGCGCATTACGTGCCTAGCGCGCTGGCCTGACTCGGAGAACCCGCTCCGGAGCGCGGGACGGAGGTGCTAATAAGAACACACGGGAAACCGCAGAATAGAGCATCCGATCCCTGGTTGCTCTCTATCTCTCACCAGTGTCTCCTGCCAAACGCACGCTAGATCTCGAGTCAACCGACATGGCATCTCTACTGAGCGGAACGGACCTGATACACGCGGACCAGGCGCTCGCTGGCTATGAAGTCGCGCCGTCGATCTCGGTGACAACCAGTACGTCCTGACCCTGATTATCCTTCCTGAACTTACGGGTTACGACTGAATAGCGTTCCGAAGAGATCCTCTGTATCAGGATGATCTCGACGAGCCACCAGTCATGGTGCAAGGGCGGCGGCATGTTTACTCGACGTACTCGCAGGATGTCAGCGATCGGGACCTACAAGTTCTGAACAAAGTCCTGGTGAGTTACCACAAGAGGAGCGCTTTTGCGCAATTCTGACTCAGAGATCTTGCTAGCACGGCTATTCCATGACGTACTCCTCTGGACTAGCTGCAGCTTACGCAGTGCGTTCGCACCTCCTCTTGATTTAGAAATGATATCCACGCCTTGAATCGTTTCCAGGCACTCGTCCACTACAACCCCAAGCGTGTCGCAATTAGGAAGGGGTACATGGGCTGCCATGGGTGTATACGGACGTATGCCAAGGCAAAGTCAGAGAACATCCCCCTGATAGACCTCGACGACGACTTCCAAGAAGGTGATCTATGCTGGCTGGAGACGCCGTTGAATCCGACTGGTGAATCTCGGTGAGATGCTTGTTGAAGCCATATACAGCGTAATGACCTGATATCAACCAAGGGACATCGCCTATTACGCAAACAAGGTGAGCGTTGGTATCCTCTTCGAGCCTTGCCTGCGGCTAACGTCAATAGGTTCATGCCATAGGCGGAAAGATTCTAGTCGACTCAACATTTGGGCCTCCACCGCTCCAGGACCCGTTCAAGTGGGGAGCAGACTGTGTCTTTCATAGTGGTACGTCATCCACGGTCGTGGCTTGTACATAGCCAGTGATGACAGCTGGGCGCAGGGACAAAGTACTTTGGAGGTCACTCCGACATGCTTTGCGGTATTCTCGCTGTCAAGACGGAGGCAGAGTACTTGGAGGTCGGTGATGAGGACCTGTATAGTGTCGACGATGCTCACCTGCAGTATAGCTCTGGGACGACAGAAAGTTCATGGGCAACGTGATGGGCTCCCTTGAGACGTGGCTTCTCCTGCGGTCTCTTCGGACGCTGCACCTCCGAGTCCCACGACAGTCCGAGACAGCGACGATCTTAGCGCGATGGCTCGCTGGAGCAGCTAATGTTCCCGCCGGAGAAGATCGCGAGTTCGACGGCATACCGGGGGGTGTCGTGACGAAGGTCTGGCACTCCAGCCTGCAAGGTATCGATGAGCGCGGCTTCGACCCTGCGAAGCAGATGGAGGGAGGATTTGGTGCTGCATTCTCAATACGGGTGCGCACTGCTCTATCCTTCTTGGTTGTATAAGAGTATGTTAACCCCGCCGTGTAGCTCGCACACAGAGAATATGCAGACAGGTTTCCGCATTACCTGCAATACTTCGTCGTACGTGCGTCAGGCGGTGTGTGATGTTCACCTTACCCAAGAACTATCAGGTCGCGACGAGCCTCGGAGGCGTCGAATCACTGGTCGAGCAAAGAGTCCGCTCAGACAAGAGCGAAGACCCGTTGCTCATTCGCTTTAGTATCGGTGTTGAAGACGTAGACGTGAGTAGCCACCCGCGCCAATCTGCGAGCAGGAATTAAAGATGTGACATTAGGATCTAAAGAGCGACATTCGCCAGGCATTCCAGAGGTTGACGATGGTATGACTGACAACTTCGCTATGCAGAGCCCGACACTCATATTTTGTATCACTCTAGATCAAACTCCCTCTGGTTGCCCCTCCCTCAGGTGGACTGTGCCGTAGTCAATAGGATTGATCACGGACCTTACCTCGAAACGTCGAGGTTCTGGACCTTTAGACATACAGTCAACTCCCCCATATTGCATACCCCTTGGGAAATGCTCCGGGCTATGCATTATAGGGTATGCACATAGGGAGAGACATAATAAATAGGGGCTAAATAACCCGTTTTAATTCTATATCATTCTATGTCGCTCTAGGTATCACAGTAGGGCAAAAACCATATGCATATGTATGTGATGCAAAATACTTTGTACATCAAGCCTCCTTCAAGCTCGGCCGCACCTGGTCCAAACACAGCTGGCGGTTGAATAACCCCAGCAAAGCCTCCAGCTTCTGCGCCATGGTCGAAAAACTACAGTATGCAGTAACACACATACTTATTAGTATCAGACCCGAGGCCTGGAGGCCCGCTCGCGCTGAGCCTTGGACAACTCTTCGACGACGTCACATTCGCCGTCAACGTTGTCTGTCTCGATGATCTCCATATTTTCCCGCGCCTCCCGTGCCTTCATCACATGCACAGGTGCAAAATTCTCATCCTCAGTGGTCTTGCTCATGGAGCTGCGAGCACAACTTGCTAGCATCCAAGTTGTTGCCAGCTGGGTAAAGGAGTTCATCAATCTGAAGTCGGTTGTACTTATGTCTTGGGCTCTATTTGAGGCTCTTCAGTGAGATCATGGAGCCGAACATACATTTTCGAAGGGTTTCCCAGCATACATTCTCGCTGATCAGCCTGTAAAACAGCAAACTCGGCACTTTTTACCCCTGAGCTATGCATTGTCAACCTGCCGGCCCTATGCGTTATGCGTTATGCGAATTACGGGCGCTTACCCCGCAAACCAACTCGGGAAAGCTCAAAACCTATGCATTACTAGAGGGTCTGCATTATGGGAGGTATGCAGTAAGGGAGAGTCGACTGTATCTTCAGACAGGGCGGATTGCAGGATTCGCGCAGAAAGCGGACGATAAGTTATACTCAACGATATCCAATGACACAGTGGGTGTAGCTGTTTAAGACGATGTATATAATATGTCCCTAGATCGAGCGAATGAGGTCCACAGCGGTGTACGAGGCACCAAGAATGAGGCCTAGAAGATTTCGCAGTTAGCGTTCATGTACCATCGAGGAAGGGTCTAGAGGGATATTGCGTACCGAGCATGGCGATAGTTCCAATGGTTCCACGGCTGCGCTTGGCGGGCTCGCCCGTCGAGTATCCGATCGTGTACAGAACACGGCCGGCGACCCAGAGACCAAGACCGGCAGCGGCGTAGGTGGGGAATTGGACACCTGCGATGGCGGTACTGCACGAGTTGTTTAGCGGTTGCTCGCACGGAGATGTAGAGGAATGGACTTACGAGATGAGGACAGTGGGAAGGGACTCGAGGGTGTTTTGGTGTGCGCCTGTAACGAGGTCACGTTAGGTGGTGCATGTAGAGACGAGGAAGGTGGTACGTACGCTGTGCGCAGTTGAAGAGGTGCGCCTCCCGCCTGTCCTTGGCCTGCTGGACCTCGGCATACACTACAGAAATAGTAGACCTGTAAGCGAGAATGAAACGCTACGTGGGCTCGGAAACGCACTCTGAGGGTAGTCGATCTTAGCGGCCTTGCGAGCGCGGGCGACGCGGAGGAACTGCCAGATGTTGAGCCAGATGGTGGAAGCCAAGGCGCCTGCAACGTAGGCGTATTCAGCGGGGATGACGATGCCAGAGGGGGACATTGTTGCGGTGATGGGTTGCGTGTGGAGGATGAAAGTGGTGTTGAAGGTGTGAATGAAGAAAGGAGCGATGGAGATGATAATGTTCAGTTATATATCACGGCTTGCTGGATGTGAGCGCAGTCAACGGCATGGACTGACGCGTCCCATCCACTGCCAGTGCCGCGGCTATGGCTGTGTTCGGTGACATTCGTTGCTCCCCGTCGCTTCCACGTATCCATTCCATGCTTGCCCGAGGCATCCCCGAGCGGCGAGATCTGCAACAAGCTCCGGCAAGGGGGACGCGTCTTGAGGGGTTTACGCGGTGGTGGTGACCCATCCTTTGATGTCCGGGAATATCCGCTGACATATCCGCTCTCAACGCTGACTCATCCAGGACCAACTTTATGTCCCGAAACGTACGGAGTCACGGACTGCCGCTGAGGGAAATCAAAGAGTCAAACTACACATTAGAATTCTGTCGTATGCATTTCCGAGGCCCAAGTCTAACAATGCTAGCAGTACGTGTACATAAATATCTGGTATCAGCTTCGTAGCCAAGTCCACTGTCCATTATCCACTCTCTACCCGATTGTGTCCTCTCCAATGGGCTCCGGGATCATCGATCAGTGATAGGCACGCGTCTCTTCGACGATGCCTCCTGAGTTAAATATATGCGCGAGACAATTTATGGCTTGCCCTCCTCAAGTTCGGTGGTGACGTAGTGCCAGATATAGTGGGACCAGCCCTCGAGGACACCCGTACCCGACATGAGATGGAGACAGTCGCCCGTGGCATGCTAGCGACATACATGAGCATCGTCGACATATCCGCATCATCAAGAAAAGACTCACCGCATCAGGTCGCAGCCGTGCTGGCCGGTCGATAGGAAGATAGTGAATAAACGGGTACATTTGAGGCGTAAGTAGATTCTGCATGGCCCGTTTCAGCCTACGACGCTCACCACACCAAGAGGGGGAGAAAGACTCACCTGGAAGATCTGATTAAAGTCCTTGATCCACGCCCAGTTGTACCACTGGAACTGGAACGGCTTGATCCGCCACCACGGCTGATAGAAATTGTGGCAATCCTCGTGCCCAGGCAAATACGCCCTCACGACGACCCTCTTGTCCCGCGCCACGCTTCCCTCCGTCCTCGCGAGCGCGGGCGCATACGGCAACGCGCGCATGGAGGCCAGCGTCCAGTCGTCGTCCATCCCGGCGACGCGCCACGTGTCCGACGGCGCGTCGTAGTGCAATGCGCCGAACGTCCACTGGTCGCCGCCGCCCTCGTCCGAGTTGTAGTACGACACGAGCGCGCTCTGAACATCGTCGGCCCACTGCTGCATCGACACTTCGAAAAATTCGAGTACGTCCTGGATGCCGTAGCCGTCTTTCTCGCCAATAGACTCGTTGCGGAAGGCGGACATTAGCGTCGTGGTCCAGTGTCCCGCGGTGGAGACAATGAGGGTCGAGTAGGGGAGTGAGAGGAAGAGGGGCATATATTGCTGTGGTGAGATGGACCAGGTCTGTTCCTCGCTGAAGAGCGGGGTTGTCTCGGCTTTGTCGGGATAAGTTTCCTTGTAGAGCTTCTCCAGTTCAGGTCGACTGAGCAAGAGGTCAACGCGGCGGAACGTGGCGAGTGGCGTGCTCTCGATATCAAAATCGTAGGGAATGTCAAGCTCCTGCACGAGGGGCGAGGAAGGGTTGAGGTATAGGTTCTGTGGCCATGCGCGGTCAAAGTATGGGTTCTCGGTATAGTTTGGGGTGGCGCGGACGTGCGGATATAGTATGCACGAAAGGGAGAAGAAGTGGTTTTCCGTTATCGAATCTATAGGCCGAAGGTGAGTGTTGAAAGAATAATAAAATAAAAATGGTACGCACCACCCAGAATAAGCCAGCCGCCTTTCTCGACCATGTCCCTGACCATGTCCCGCGGTCTCATTGGTCGAATGTCGCAACCATCTCCAGGAACCCAGTCGTAATAATCGACGTCTGGAAAGCGATCCCACTTCTCTTCAACGTCGGCGCCGAGATGCCAGTAATATTCGCGATCAGCGGCGCAACCTTGAAAGCCAGTGAAAGCAAGAGCGTCATCCTTCGTGGTTATGTTGTCGATCGCCACTTCGGTTTTTGGACTCCATTTCCAGTAACCCGAAGCGTATGCATCTGGGGAGCACGTGCCGACGGTGGCTGCCACGGGGCTGTCCTCCCAAAGGGTGTCCGAGAAGGAACGGAGGTGGGAGGATATACGAGCATGGTTGTAATAAAAGAGGAGAAGGGTGAAAGAGACACCTGACGCGATGGCAAGTAGTCGCGCCGAGAGAGACCGGGTTTGCAGCATCTTGGCGTTGCCGAGGACGTGGGGCTGCGGGGTAGACGGGGATGTAGAGCCGTGACGCCGATCTCGACGGCGAGAAGTGGCCGAAATAAGCTACGGCGCAGTGATGGCGGTCGACGAAGGTAGGAGTGAGCGCGCTGTGGACGACGACGAGGAGAGAGAGGAGAGAGAGGAAGAGTGACAGGCTTGGAGTGGGAAAGTGAACATTTCTTGCGGTGTCTAGCCATTCCGCAGCACCTCGAAACGCGGTGGAGCCCCTCGCAAATACAGGCGCTATTCGTCTTGGCATCGGCCTAAATGATGTCACATCTCGCCTTTTCTGGTAATGTTCTGCCGCTTTTGGCCGCCTTTCCCGCGCCATCCCGCCCTTCCCAAGCCCTTTCTTGCATAACGAGCCCATCTTGCTGCAGAAACCAGAGTTATTCTGCTTGACATGACCTGCAGAAATAACACGACACGCACCCTCCCTGATTTGTTTCATCGCCGCCACTGCCAGCATTCACGTTATCCTTCTTCACGTTAGTCGCTGTCCTCGCACGAGTCTAGACTCCGCATCTGATACGCGCCTTCCCGCTGCGGCTTATGTAAGCACCCCTCAAAACTTTTCTGCCTCGCCGCTCTCCTTTCTTCAAACCGTGCCAGCTCCTTATCACTCTTCCGTTTTCAAATCCTCCAAACGTCGAAGGGACATTTTTGTCTGGCCGAGAGCATCCTCAACGGGGACTTCGCCTTCGCTAGCAGCTCTACTGCCCCGGGCCTCTACGTGGGGTCCCGGTGTGATGATGGTCTTCTAGATAGTAGTGAAAGTTACATTCATCCCTAATGTCCGTTCGTATGATCAATACATGTCCTTTACCACTCCATCCATCTCTAGAGTCCAAGTGCTCGTCTGAAACATCACGTACTGGGTCAAATCGCATCGCGCTGGAGACAGATTCTAGGCAGGTGCACTCACGCCTTTGCAGCCACCTTCATATTCCTGAACACCACGCTCAACCTCACCGCGTTGCCTACCAGCTCCGACCACCCGCGCTCGTCGAGCAGCACAAAGTCTTCGTCTCCGTCCCCATGCTGTCGGTAGAACCGCGCGTAGACCCACACCTCGGGCTTGTACCGGTACTCGCTGATCCACCAGTCGTCCCGCGTCGAGAAGCGCGAGATGAACATGTTCGTCGCTCTCTGACGAAGGTAGCTCGTCAGTTGGTTACATTCGCAACCATTGAACGAGGAGAGGACTCGCTCGATAACTCATTGCCTGCAGCGCGCTCCGTCCAAACGCGCGGGTCTCGTCCCGACATGTGACTATCACTTGTGGAGGCATCGCTGTAGCATTTGCGATGAACTCCTGGAGCGTTCCAAGGGCAGTTATGACATCCATTGGGAAACCATTGTCCTTTGCTGGTATTGTCTCCTCTTTGGACTGGTGTGGTGTCTTGCTCATTGCTGGCTGCGGTAAGTCGACCTCAGGTACGAGGGCATGCACTCGGTGAGAACGTCAACCATTTCGTGTTCACGTTTTGCTCACGTTCTTACACACGGCGTTCTCATAAATGTGTACAAGTGCAGGAGGTTCGGGCATGGGAGCCAAATCAAACCTTGGGTCATGTGCATGAGGCATCCAAGGGAGCACACAGGGACTATAATTATCGTCACCCTCATTACTACATGAAGCACTATCTATTCATCTACTTTGCCGCACCCAACCCAAGCTTCGTGTTCTTCATCACAGCCGTAAGTGGCGTCTCCAAACCCGCAGACGAGAATCCAATCCTCTCTCCTTCAGCCCACCCCATTGCAGCGAGCAGCTTGAACCCAAGATTCGTCTCGCCGATCTTTGGTGCTTCCTAAACAACCGTCAGTTCAGCATCCCGTCGAACGGCAGCCATAGACACGAAAATGACGAACCTTGCCGACCTCCTCCCCATCCCTCAGCCTCGTCTTCCCCCCGTGATCCCGATCCTTCCGCCCCGCATCCGGCCGATCGAACCCATCATACCTCCGCAAAATCGCGCGCACCTTGCCCTCGTTGACCATCTGCGACCGCGCCGTCTTGACGAGCGTCGTGTACCGCCCGCTCCCCTTGCCTTTACTCTGGCTCTTGAGACTGAACGCGTTCGCGAGCTCGTGCACTCGCTTCCGCGAGGTCTTGTCCATCGGCGGGAGCACCATGTTGCGCTTGGGACCTGGGTCGGTGATGAACCGCCGGATCTGGCGCTCGAGCGACTTGAAGTCGACGATAGCGTTGGATTCATCATCCGAGAGTAAGGAGGGGTCAAGGCGCGCGGCGGCGCGCAGGGCCTTGCGGCCTTTCTTGCCTCCTTTCTTGGGTGTGAGTGCGTCGAGAGCGTCCAGCAGGCGGGCTTCCTCGCGCGCGCGTTTGTGTTCGGCTTTCTTCTTGCGGTCTTTCTCCCATTGCCGTTGGAGCTCTTGCGGGAGATGCTTATTCTTGTCCTTTCGTTTTACTATCCAAGTTATAAGATAAAGCTCGTGTTTTTGGGAACGAGAAATATACCTGGAACACCCATAGCCTCCAGCTCAGAGTCGCTAAAGTCCCCGTTCTGAACAGCGCGGAAGAGCTTGTTCCGCTCTTTGCGGTCCTTACCGTACACGGTAGAGCTTTTCTCGTCTACTATCGCCTGTATCAATTTTAGTCAATGCAAATCGTCCAGAGCCGATGGGATGTACTTACGCCCATTGCTTCGATGAAGTCGTCGTCACTGTCCCCTCTCGTCCACAGCGGGAAGCCATCCTCGTCTTCATCTGAGTCGTCTGGCGACATGTTCGCATGCGCAGGCCGCTTCTTGCGCGCCTCCTCGCGAAGGCGATTGAGTCTGTTCTTGAAACCTGTCTGAGGACTGACACCTTCCTCGTCCGTCGATACATCGTCACTGTCACTGGCCCCTCCTTCGCCCTCGCCGTCCGACTCGGCGATCATAATCTCCTCCTCAACCTCAAACACGGCAGCTTCATCGGGATCGTCTCGACTGTCCCCGTCTTCATCCTCGTCAGAGCCGGATCCAGAACCCGCCTCCTCGTCCTCAATGCGCATGCGCTCCATGTCCTCGAGGTCGTCCGCGTTGAGATGACGCGATCCCTCGGCGCTCATGCTCTTCAGGAACCCGTCCATGCCACCGACATCCGGGTCCAGATCCATACCGCCCAGCCCACTCGAGAGCTCATCGAGCTCATCGGCCTGGAACTGCTGCCGTACGCGACTCCCGCTCCCCTGGGCAGCACTGCGCTCTTCCTCATCCTCGTCGCCCCAGTCAACATCCGAATCATCCCTCCTCCGCTCCTCCCACCGTGGGTCGTCTTCATCATGCAACATCCGCTCCGAGAGCATCGCTCCGAACGAGCCGAACATCGCCTTCCTCGCCATCCGCTTTCGTGCGATGCGCGACTCCTTGTGCTTTGTCTTTGCTTTTTGCTTCGTCCGGTCGCCCGGCGTGAAGACGGGCCGCTGGCGTGGCGGCCGCTTCGTCGGCACGGGCGTCGAAAAGTCGAGTGCGAGCGTCTCTGTAGTACCGGTGAGGATCGAGGTGGATGGGAGAGCGGCACTAGAACCTTTTGAAGGTGTGGCGTGGCCTGAGCGAGGGTGGGGTGCGACGTAGACGATCACCTCTTCTTCGTCACCGAGAATGGGCGCTTTCCCGGAGCGTTCATGGAAAATCTCTTGTTCACGACCATAGGTGTGAGATGGGGTGGTGTCGATGAAGAAGGTGGGAGGGTGATCGGTGTCGCTCAAAGGAGCTGCAATTTCTACCATATGGTCGTCGGTGGGCGGGACATCAGTCGTCTCATGTTCCGTTGCTTGCGCACTATGATCCATAAGATGATCCGTATCCAGAGTTTCGGTGACGTCGGCCGATATGTCGTTGGAATGTAATGGTACGCTGTCTTCCCTCACAGGGATAGAGTCGTCGTCGTGCAGCATCTCCTCGCTCTCATGTTCTTCGACAATCACTTCAGGTTCAACGATGGACGTTGTAACCGCCGTCTCCATCAATTCCTCCTCTTGGGGCGCCACAGCGTCCGGCTGAGCCGCCTTGACTTGCCCTGTGAAAACCTCTTCGGTGACGACCGTCGTCGTTTCGACGACCATCACACTCGCGCTCGATGTAGCGGCATCCAGCTTAGCTCGGAGCCGGTCTACATCATTGAAGTCGATCACCTCGAGCTCTTCTTCCTCGTCCGAGGACTCGGGTGCCAACCCCTGCGTGGGAGGAGGCCGATGTCCGCTGAAGATGCGGGCGACTCGATCGGCAGTGGGGACGTGGCTCTGCTCTTCTGCTCCTAACGGTGCAAGTAAACAGTTAGTGATAAAGAATAGAAAGCGTGGTATGATAACACACCTGCGCTCTCGACCACGGGTTCCAGAATCTGCTCTTCTACCTCGAACAGCTTCTTTGTAAGGACGGAGGGCACGAAGATGACTGGCTTCAGCAGCGGTCTCTCCGAGTGAAGCAGCTTCGAGAGAGGCGCATCCGGCCCAAGACGGGGTCCAGCGTATCCTCCTCCTCCCCGTCCTCTTCGTCCACGATCCGCGCTGATGCCCGCTCTGGGTGACGAGACCTGACCCCTTCCTCGAGCCCGCGTCGGTGTCTGAGCACCTCTAGGCGTGTTGGATCCACGAGAGCGTGGCGTAGAAGGCCCCCGTCCTCGTCCTCGTGATGGAACGTCTGCAATGCGTCAAAGATTGGCAGAGGCCGACACGACACCCAGCCAGCGCACGCACTTTGATTCGACTCCATCCACTGCTGCACCACAGAGTCGGTGCCTGCGTGCGGGTAGTTGCCCCGCGGACGAGCGCCTCCACCTCCGCCTCTCGCCGACTGCTCGTATGATCGCATGAGCATAGGGTCGAAGGCAATGTCGTCGCCATCCACCCGACCTCGACCCCTGCCTCTGCCTCTGCCTCGCCCTCCGCCACCGCGTCCACCACCACCCCGATAGCCTCCCCTGCCACCTCCGCCTCTGCTGTTGCCTCGACCGCGGTAGCCTTGATCGTTACCTCTGGGCATGATATACTCAATGGGCGCTGTGGTGGGCGTCGAGAAACGAGGGAAGGGTTGGAGTGTATTAGCAATCTATGAGTCTACGATAAACCGCCTGAGACGCGGAGCCGTCGGCCCTTGCGCGGATCGCATCCGGCAAACTGCCCCTTTTGGATCCACTGCTCGTCACCACGTCCAAGTCTTTGAACCAGCTCGACTTTGCGAGGATATTATTGTCAAAAACCGTTATGCGTATAGACAAGAAAATTGTGTAACTATGAAACATGCAGATGCAAAAGTCCAACGTGGGCATCTAGTGGCAATTGATCAAGAGAGAGATTTGTTGTGCGTAGGCAAGAAATTGCGTAACAAAAATTTAGAGAGATGTCACCATATTTTTCAAGAAATGTTTTTCGTCAGATGAAGACTGTGGCAAGGTTCACTGCAGCGAGCATCAGCGTTAGTCGACGATTGAGAAAAAGTACAAAACCCACCTCAAGGCCTAGGCGGTGGCGGCGGCATATACCTCCTATCGTCCCTCACGTCCGGCGGACGCCCATACCCGCCCCTCCCGATGGGCGGCAAAGGCACCCTCGGCGGCGACCGTCCCCTAATATCCCTGTCCCTATCGTACGGTGCGGCCGCATACCCAGGTCCATCTCTATCCCGCGACAACGGCGGAGGCAGAGGCGGATATTCCCTGTCCCGATCTCTATCCCGCCCCAGAGACGCCGAACTCGCGCTGGCCCCGCTAAACGGAGGCGGTGGCGGCAGACCGCCTCGACCATCGTAGAACGACCCACTGCCGCCGCTACTAGGAGGAGGCGTCGCCACCGAGCGCGGGTAGTCGCTCGCGACCGAGTCGCGGCGCGGCGGGGAGCGCCCGTAGAAACCACCCGGACCGGGACCAGCGTAGGAAGCGTCGTCGCGCGTCCGTTTGAGCGGCGGGCGCATGTCGTCGATGGGGGCGCCACCTGGGCCATTGCGCCTTATCGGACTCGGACTGCGTCCGCGCACGCGCGAGAACGGGGGTGGAGGGGCAGTATCGGCAGGTGGATAGCGAGCTCGGTCTAGGTCACGATATGCCCTGTCGTCCGCGGGATAAGGCGGAGGGAAAGTATCCGGGCGAGAGCCCAGCGGACGGGTAGAGTCAGAAGAGGTGCTGTATGGAAGCGGCCGGCGATCTCTGTCGTCGCGGGCATCGCGAGCATCCCAGCTACCAGCACCGGGTACAGCCCGAGCAGGAGGTTCGCGGTCGAACGGTGGTCGCTCGAGGGGTGGAGGCGGGCGGCTGTCCCAGCTCCGGTAAGGGGGACGCTCATCAGCACCCCAGTCCCGTCTTCGTTCATATTGCCAGTCGCGTTGGTCGCCCGGAGGGTAACGTCTGTCGAGGTCGGCGTCATAGGCAGATATAGGCACAGGCGCAGTATCTGCACGGGAGGGTGAGCGAGTGTAAATCCCTTTGCCTGCACTTGCGCTTGAGAGAGGCGGAGAGGGAGGCCGACGGAAAGCGTTCCCGCGACTTTCGGCATATCGTGAAGGTGGGTCAACGTCCATGAGATCAGGTCGTCTGCTATCGTTGAAGACCCTGTCTGGCTCACTGCGGTAAGGAGGTCTCACGTCTGCTTGTTCGCGAGATACACTTCGAGGAGGAGGGCGGAACTCTCGAGCATCGGCACGATCATTGAGCGGCGGCAGAATGTCTTTGCCGGCGCGTGAATCAGGGCGGACAGCCGAAGGAGATCGTACCACAGGTGGAGGATAGACATTGGGGCGAATCGAGGCAGAGCGATCCGGGGAAGCTGGCCTTGCGAACCGGTCGTTGACGGATGGGCGACCGCGGTCATTTGATGGACCGAGCCCCAAGCGGTTTGAAGCGACAGGCAGGGGAGGGTCCAGAGGACGGGTACCACGATCATCTACAGGGGGTCTCTCAGATGCAGATGCAGGTGCAGGGTGAGACAGGCGTTCTTCCAAGCTAGGAGGACGAGCGTTCTTGTCATCCAGTCTCGAAGCAGCGTGAGCTGGTTGACCGATCCTATCTTGAAGAGAAGGAGCTTGAGAAATACGTTCCTCTAAGGGAACGGCAGCCCTAGAAAGACGATCGTCGCCAGCGGAAGGGAGTGGAGGACGAGTGTCAGAGGCAAGTCGGTCACGATCAGGAGAAGAGAGATCATTAGCGGGAGGCATACGGACACGATCATCTCGGGGCATAGATCTATCTCTGTCTACAGACGGGAGAGCACGGGGCAAGCGGTCTCGGTCATCATTAGCTGGAGGGCGTCTGTCGTCAACCAATGTGCGAGGTCCGCGGTCATCTTCATTATCAAAACGACGAGAAGCGAGATACTCGGGAGAGTACTTGGGTTCATAATGGCGTTGATCAGGTGGGGGTCTTGGCGCAAAACTACGGCCATAGGAGCGCGGGTAGTCGGTGCGTCTTTCTCTGTCCCGATCCCAGAAGTCCCTGTCCCGTTCGCGGTCCCGGTCACGGACATTATCTTTATTATCTTTTACATCTTTGTCGCGAATATCTTTGTCCTTGTCGAAGGCGCGCTGGTCCCTCGGTGGGAGCCGGGCATTGGCGTCGGTGTTAGGTCGGTCGTACTGTCCAGGCCCATTTGCAGAGCGACCAGGAGAGGGACCCAAACGATCTTCCAACCGACGCCTGTCGTCTGAGAAGCCGTTGTCGCGGGTTTTGTCGAAGCCAGATTTTCCGGGAGACGGGTGGCCTTCTCTGTACTCACCTGCTCTATCAGAGATAGAACGATGCATGTCTTCAGGTCGCTTGTCGTCAGAAGAGGGGATAAGAGGTTTCACGTCGGCGAGGGTTTCTAGACCAGAAGCAGAGGTAGCAGATGCAGGGGGATGAGAGGCAGCGTTGTCGGCGGTTGGATGATAACGATGGTTTGCGTCTGTGTGCTGTGAGGAGAGGGTGGATGTGAGCGGGAAAGGGGAGGAATGGAGATTGTGTAGAACGCACGTTACGTCTGGCAGCGTCCCAATCCTTCCTTTGGTCGCCAGCAAACCTCCTGGTGTCGGAGCCAGAAAAGCCAGATGTGTCAGCGTTCGAGTGTTGACCAGGGAGAAGAGCGTAGTCTGTGGGAAGGGCGTCCTGATGGGGCCGGGAAGAACCGTTTGAGTGAGATGGCGGACCCAAGTAGAGAGAGGCGAGAGCAGTGGGCTGAGGGACAGCGCGATAGAACTCGTGCTGACCGTCCTTGATCATTTTCTTGAGGCTTTCGAGAATCTCGAGGTCGCTTTTTCCCGGTGGAAGCATAAGCGGGGGCTGGTGCTGGTGCTGAGGCAAGAAATGCTGTTGCTGGTGCGGAGGGCCTGAATTGTGGTTGGAGGCCATGTTGTAGGGCCCAAAAGCGCGAGGTGGGAGGTGGAAGGAGGGCGGGGCGTCGAGAGGAGAGAGAAAAGAGAAAGAAGGCGACATGAGGCTGCCGGTCCGCGCGGCTTGTTGAACGGCGCTCGGGTGTGGACTGGCCAATCGCAAGCGGCGTCTCGGGTCGTCCTCCGCGAGTGTCGTCACTGTCCGCCCTTTTCGTCTCTTGTTCAGCTTTGCTGACATTCGGCAGCCTGCACTTCTTGCCTCCAGGATGGTGGAGTAGACAATGAGAAAATGGGTGACAGGCGACGTCACGGAACCAGACCCGACGCACTCGACGCATGTATGCGCTTGTTGACGTCTCCTCGCCGCACCCAACGACCACCTCGGATGTCTTACACTTCCACGTTATGATTGAAACTCCATATGTTTCTCGCCTGCTGTAGTGCACTCTGACCATCCGCTCGGTCATTGTGGCGATCATGTCAATGTGCCGTAGACGCCCATCCACTGCTCAGCATGTAAGGTAAGACGACCGCGTTCTCTCTGTATCACCTGTATGAGGAACGGCAGCCTCGAGGCCTCGATCTCGGCACAATCGCTCCATGGATTCAGATGCACATTTACGGTACTCGATGTACGCATTGCACAACGTCCTCAAACAACTGTCTTGAAAGCGTAGGGCTTGCATTTGCCACTTTTACGTAGCATATAGTCTCGTATTGCTATGACCTAGTCTCTGAAATGTGGGCTGAGTGCAGCGAGTTCGCGAAGGTCAGAGAAGGTAGTGGAAACATCGATTTTCCGAAAGCAGCAACCCTTGGCCGCAATTGGACCGCATCTATTTTATCAACTCCGCGTGCTCGGAATTTTGCATCTAAAACGCGTCTGCCTCCCCTCCACTCCCCATCCCCCTCCGCCCTCCAACTCTTCAACGACCCGTAGAGGTCTCCACAAATCCCTCTCTTGCTCACAAAATCTACATTCCGGAACAATGGCTGTCGTCGGTATTGATTTCGGTACCCTCCATAGCAAGGTCCGTACTTTCATCTTAGCGATCTCACCTTTACATGCTCATCGCCAAATTTTAACACAGATCGGTGTCGCAAGGAATCGTGGTATCGACATCATCGTCAACGAGGTCTCCAATCGTGCAACTCCGTACGCTTTCTCCCTCTTGTATCCCTTATCGTGCCGCTTATAACATGTTTCCCACTATCATAGATCTCTCGTTGCCTTCGGCCCAAAACAACGTTCCATCGGTGAGGCCGCAAAGACCCAGGAGACCTCCAACTTCAAAAACACCATTGGCTGCCTCAAGCGTCTGATCGGCCGTACGCTCGCAGACCCCGAGATTCAGGAGGAAAAGAAGTTCTTGCACGCCAACCTTGTAGATGTCAATGGCACCGTCGGCGCGGAGGTATGCACCCATCTCATCTCCTCCGTATTGATCTCATTCTCGTGATGGATCCAGGTCACCTACGTCGGCGAGAAGCAGATATTCTCCGCAACTCAGCTTGTCGCCATGTATCTCGGCAAGATACGAGACATCACCTCCAACGAGCTCAAAGTCCCCGTCACCGACCTCGCCATCGCCGTCCCTGGCTGGTACACCGACATCCAGCGCCGAGCACTCCTCGATGCCGCTTCGATCGCCGGTCTCAACGCCCTTCGCCTTATCAACGACACCACTGCTGTCGCTCTCGGTTACGGTATCACCAAATCCGACCTCCCTGAGCCCGAGAACCCACGGCACGTCATGTTCGTCGACGTTGGTCACTCCTCCATGTCCGTAGCCGTCGTCGCCTTCTCCAAGGGTCAACTCACCGTCAAGAGCACGGCCTACGATCGCCATATTGGTGGTCGTTACATCGACTACACCCTCCTCAAGCATTTCGCAGAGGAGTTCAAGACCAAGTACAAGATCGACGTCATGTCGAGCCCCAAGGCCCAGTTCCGTCTGGCTGCCGGTTGCGAGCGTCTCAAGAAGGTCCTGTCTGCCAACTCGGAGGCTCCTCTCAACGTCGAGTCTATAATGAACGACGTTGACGCGTCGTCGAGGCTTACTCGTGAAGAGTACGAAGCCCTCCTTTCTGATCTCTTAAACCGCATCGCCGTCCCTCTTGAGCAGGCGCTTAAGGAGTCTGGTCTCACCATCGAGCAGATCGATACTGTTGAGCTCGTCGGTGGTTCTACCCGTGTCCCTGCTGTTCGCCAGCGCATCCAGGCTGCCCTCGGCGGCAAGACCCTCTCTACCACACTCAACCAGGACGAGGCCATCGCTCGCGGCACTACCTTCGCCTGTGCTTTCCTGTCCCCCACCTTCCGTGTCCGCGAGTTCACCATCCATGATATCACCCACTACCCCATCAAGGTCAACTGGGAGTCCTCGGCGTCGGACCCTGACGATGACACCGAGCTCCTCGTTTTCCCCCGCGGCAACGGCATCCCTTCGACCAAGGTCCTCACCTTCTACCGCAAGGGTCCCTTCGACATCGAGGCGCAGTACGCGGAGCCTGAGGGTCTGCCCGGCGGTATCAACCCGTGGCTCGCCAAATTCACCGCGAAGAGCGTCCCACCTGACCCCAACGGCGACCTCACGTGCGTCAAGCTAAAGACGCGTCTGAACCTCCACGGTATCATGTCGTTCGAGAGCGCGTATGTCGAGGAGGTCGAGGAGCGTGAGGAGGCGATGCCTGTCGATGGGGATGACAAGGCGACGCCCAAGAAGAAGAAAGTCGTGCGCAAGAAGGAGATTCCGTTCGTCGCCTACCACTCTTCCCTTGATTCAAGCCTGGTCGAGAAGTTCAAAGAGCAGGAGGCGCAGATGTACGCTAACGATAAGCTTGTCATGGATACCGAGGTACGTTCTCCATCCGTATATTTTCCGGGTCAGCGATGCTGATTCAGCCCACAGGACCGCAAAAACGCTCTCGAGGAATACGTCTACGACATGCGTGGCAAGCTCGACAACCGCTACGCTTCCTATGTCCAGCCACAAGAAAAGGAGCAGCTTCTCTCCATGCTCCAGGAGGCAGAGGACTGGCTCTACAGCGAGGAGGGCGAGGATGCCACCAAGTCGGCGTACGTCGCCAAGCTCGATGGTCTCAAGAAGATCGGCGACCCAATCGTCTTCCGGTGGCGCGAAGCCAATGAGCGTGCCGGTGCGATCTCACAACTCCGCTCCACGCTCAACGACTACATGGCGCAAGCCACATCGGGCGACGAGCGGTACTCACACATCGACGATAAGGACAAGCAGGCGGTCATCGAACGTTGTGCCAACACTCTCAAGTGGCTCGATGACCAGGTTGCGCGGCAGTCGGAGCGGCCGAAGAACGTGGACCCTGTCCTCACGAGCGCAGACATCGTCAAGAAGAAGGACGAGATCATCTACTTCGCCATTCCTATCCTCACCAAGCCGAAGCCGAAGCCGGTCGTGACGCCTAGCGCGAACACGCCCAGCGGTCCCGGAACGCAGACTCCCCAGGGAGACGCACAGAGCGGGACTCGGACGCCCCAGGGCGGTGCACAGAGTGGGAAGCAGACGCCTGACCCTGCTGCGGGTGGCGAGGCACCCAAGGCAGAGGAGCCGCAGGGTCCTTCGGGGATGGATGTCGATTAGATGCGACTGTCTGGACGGTTACGTACGACGGTCGAGTAATGGATATGGCAGTTTTCAAGCTGGGGTGTTACGATTAGATGCATGAAGTGTAGATCCGCATACTTACTATTGCAATATTGTTTCTTTCATGACTTTCAAGTCGTGTTTTGGCTGATGAACGCGATGAGCCCCTGTTTGCAGCCCCGTCCGCGTGAGACTTGCCTCCTGACCTCATCGTGTTCTGGCGCGTCAGGCGCCTTTCTATCTTGACGCCCTTGGAGCCGTACAAGGGCTGTCCACAAACGTACATGTGGACTCATGCGGACCAACAAGGTTTGCTGTATACAGGTATCCGCGTTCTCAGCTAACACAATCGTTCGATGAACTTCGCATGTCAGTTGCGGCAAGCTTCCTTGTATTCTACAGCATGCATTTACGTTGCGTTGTCGGACGTCCACAGCTATATGAACCGACCCCAGGACATCCTGAGAGGATTCCCTATACCCTTTTCACTTCCTCAGAACTCCCTGCCTCTCTGCGTCCATGTCCTATACTTTCACATGCATCAACTGTGGTACCCCCACAAGGAACCTCGCAATGCATATTCGCCGTCGCGAGTGTAGCATGAACCAGACGCTTGTACCCAGGCCTAGGTCTCCTCGCACGGCACTCCTGCCTGCTCAAGCACATCAGGCCTCCATTCTACCTCCTCGTTCGCCAACACCTCGCCAAAGGCCCTCGTCGCGCGCCAGAACGCACTTCGAGACATGGAAGGAGAGGCGCGACCGTGAACGGCTGGGCTCTCAGCCGGTCCCGCTGGGTTCGCCCGAGCGCGATCCGTATCTCGTCGCAGACTCGGATGCACCTAACCAGCAGGCTATAGGCGATGTGTGCAAGGGTGTACAGGATCAAGAAGACGAGTTTATGGCCAGTATTAAGAAGGGCGTCGCAGACAAGATCACCGAGCTTGACTTTCTTGACGACCGGGTGCGAAAGAGGTGCGCGAGACGCGTGGAGAGGGCGCCTATATTTCCCGTGCGTGGCCTGTATGCTACTGTGCGTGATGTCATTCTGACGCTTGCTCGGTTTCAGACCCTCATTGCGTACGCCTACGCGCATATAGCCAGCTGCGGGGCATCAGATCCAAAGTAAGTGTCTGTCTTTCCGTTGAACACGTTCCAATCTTATCATCTTCTTTAGCGATCTTGAAGATTTCGACGACGAAGTCGACGGGTGGCAAAGTCGCGGTCAGCTGTGGTGTCTGCAGCACTACAAAGAAATATTTGCGACTGTCAACAGCTCTCTGAACAAGGTGTGTTGTTCTCTATGTCGTCTGCAGGACGATGCTGAATCAGACGTCTAGCCCCAGACGTGCAAGGGACGCTGTGTACGCTCACTGCTCACCAATCCAGAAGTGCCTTCATCAGACCTCCTTCATCTTTCTTCGGCCATCGCCGTGACTCTGAGAGGAGCAGGCACCGACAAGGCGAAAGGTCTGTACTCTGTAGGGGAGGACGACATGGAGACAAACCATTCGTTGATCGACCTGTTGCATTGTGTTTGTCTCTTTGAACCCTTTGTTTAGGATATGCGCTCATTTTGTCATGCCCGTAGCTTCTGGAGCAAAACAGATGCAAGGAACGCCATCGGCGTATAATATGGGATGCGCTCATTCGCTTATCCAAGAAGCATGCTTACTACCCAGAGGAACTGCACTTGCGCGATGTCAAGGTGTGTGCTGGAGATACGCTCGGGAGAGGCGGATTCGGAGAAGTGCGCGTTGGAGAGTTACGGGGTCGTCAAGTTGCAGTTAAGCTTCTGAAGGAATTCAACATCCCGGAGGTGTCTTTTGCCAAGGTATCAGCAAGTCTCACTCGTTGCTGTCTCACCATACTCATGTTTACGGCGAAGATGGCCTATAACGAGATAATCGTTTGGCGTCAACTACGGCATCCAAATATCCTGCCTTTCTACGGCGTATTCAAGGAATCAGATCGAATCAATCTCGTCTCGCCGTTGATGCGGAACGGGTGTCTCACCAGTTATCTAAAGGAAAATCCTCAAGCCAACCGGTTCCGACTGGTAAGCCCTACCAATGTCTCTTATGTTGACAGAACAATCTCACGGACACCGTCCCAGATGCTAGACATTGTTCGCGGTCTTGAGTATTTGCACACGATGAAGCCAACGATTGTTCACGGGGACATGAAAGGCGTGAGTCCCCCCTGCATCTCTCGTTCATCAATCGCCTGACTGCGAACAGGAAAACATCCTTATCACCGCATCGGGCCGAGCATGTCTGGCAGATTTCGGTCTGGCAGCGTCAAAGGACTCGCAGAATGCACTGCAGACTATGCGCGAGCGCCATTCGGGGACACTCAATTACATGGCGCCCGAACTCCTCCTTTTTGACCAGGCATGCCTGAACCCAGATTATCGTTGCAGCGATATGTATGCCTTTGCCTGCGTGTGCTTCGAGGTCAGTCTTTCCCGTTCAGTTGCATCATTGAGTGACGTTCTCATCGATATGAACCCGAGCAGATGTTTGCCAAACGCCCTCCGTTCAAAGGATACAGTATGGTTCAAATAATGGACGCCGTCCGGAACAGAAAGAGGGAAGGCAAACCCGCGGATGAGCCGCCAGCGAGTCTCGATGAATCGCTATGGCAGTTCATTCAAACCTGCTGGAGCCAGGAGCCCGAGGATCGGCTGACTGCGTCTGACGCTCGGCAGTACATTGAGCTTGTGATCAAGGGTGATTTTTTGAACCTAGAGTCTGGAACGTCTATGCAGGCTATGGATGTCTGCGAAGACGAGGAGTGGGACGAAGTTTTCATGCAGGGCGCTGTTTCAGCGTTCAACCCGCTCAAACTTGCGTTCCCTGCTTAGAAACCGCTTTTATGCTTATGTTATCTCCTATACTGTTTTTACAAAAATTGATACGTACATAAGACCTAACTATCCGTAACTTACTATGGGTCAGACGCATACCAGAGTCCAATGACATGAAGCTTGACTGTAGATAGGGGTAGCTGAATAACCCCTGAGCAAAGTAAGGCTCACGTGCCGTAGCGTCGGCCCGAAAACCAACCATAACTCTCTCCAACACCTCCACCACATCTAGACCACTATAATCCCTGACATGTTGGCTCATAGGCCTTTCGACGAGAACAGAGGTGCCCGAACCCCGGCGCGTGCTCTCCTCAGGTCCCGCGCGCTTCAAGAAAATACGGGGACTCATGGTTTACCCAAGACGGTGAATAACCGCACAGGGAAACATGCTCAGTCGTTCTTGCCTGCCACCCTTCGTGTGTCATCCTTCCTATCCTTACCTAAGCTATTCACTGATATTTACAACCCTTGATAGAGCCGGAACGCCTTTTTAAACAAGGTGCCTCCAAAGCCGGCGGAAGCAAGAGCAAGGCCACCACGCTCGTCACCGTCGACGGACCGGCTCTCCCTCTGGGCGACAAGACACCGTTCCCGAACCGCGCTCGCCCACGTCCCAGCTCGACACGCAAGAGTTTGCGGGGTACGCCCCTGAAGACGAACGCGAAGGAGCAGCTGGCACCGGATCGGTTCCAGCAGTTCCAGACGCCCGCGACGAACGGCAACCACTGGGATGTGAGCGATACGAGTCTGACGCTTGAGAGCGCGTCCGAGCAGGAGGCGGAGGAAGAGAAGGAGGATTACGACGAGATCGAGTATATGCCGCCTAAGCAGCCCGGTGAGTTGCAGCACGGTGGAGCTCAGGCATGGACATTGAGTGATGTTTCAGATCTTGCGTACGACCCTCCGTTTGAGCTACCCGACTATAAAGAAGTCGGCAAGGCGATCATGGACTTTGCGTCGTATGATGGGCTGTTACACGGCTATACTTGGAATCCGCACCTAAAGTTTGAGGATGCCCCGAGCGACTTCTTCGCGGGTCCTTCGCTATCCCTTCCCGAGCTCGGTAAGTCCTTGACTTGTTCACGCTCACGTTGGTCTGAGATTAGCATCCCCCGTATAGAAGACGACGATCCTTTCACCAAACACGCAAAGCCACCAGCTGGTAACCTCCCTGTCGAAACCAAGGAGAAACCAAAGCCAACTGGACGCTTAGCACCCACATCTACGCACCGCGCCGCCGCTGCATCGTCCTCTATACCTACCGCCACCCACATTGCACGACCAGCTATATCAACTATGTCTAAGCGTATTGTCAGCACTCCTGCTGCAAGACCCGCGGCAAGACCTGTTACCACCGTGACGCGCCCTGCCCCCACTCGCTCTACGGCACTTGGCGATGGTGGGGCACGGCCCGTCAAGGCTATTGTATCGCAACCTCCACGACCTAGGACGGCTACTTCGATCCGGCCACCAGCTTCGAGCGGCTCTGTACATGCAACCAGGCCAGTGACGTCGATGGCGAGGCGTACACCTGCTACCTCTCATGCTATGACGTCAAAGACTTTAGGTCGCACTGCTCCGACCACGCGGCCGCCGCCTGCAGCAAAGGCCGATGATGTTCTTGACTTTGATCTTGATAGTGGTGATCTTGTTGGAGAAGACTTCCAGTTCGATGCCTAGAGTAGATGACGTGTGGCCTTGTATCCATTGTAATGAGTTATATTCTTGAGTAATCACGTCCATTCGTCATTGATCGAAATCGCGGTGAGGTATGTATGTACAAGTAGCTATCTCGGAGGCAAAACGTAGACGTCGGCAAAGGTAAAAGAGCCGCAATCCGGGGTTGACGGCGTCACTGACTGGGCCAGGTCCTCTCGAGCGTGGTTAGATTGTTCGTTCTGGGTGTTATAAGCAAGCGCAAGTTGATAGCGTGTTCTTTCTTGCGATACTGTACGAGGAGAGACGAAGATAGATGCATTTCTCAGCGGTGTCGACGAATTCACAAGGCTGGTGAGGATGGATGACGTCATGACGCGCAGCAGTTAGGGCATCCGCGTCTTTGTTACGCGTCCACGCGTCTGCTGCGGATTGACGGGAACGAACTTGAAACGACTCAGGCTCCACTCTTTCCACGCCAACAGCTTTTGGGGTTTCCACTTGAGCTTGCAACATCCTCGACGATTCCTCCTCTGGACGCCATGAAATACGACAACTTGACAGTCTAAGCGTTGAGCCAGGAACAGTTCCTGAGGCGAGGGCCATAACCAGTTCAGTGTTCGAGACCTTGAGTTGATCTGAATCTATCTGTTTAACGCATGGCTTGGCGACGTCGTGAAGAGTGTACAGGCGTTGGAGGGCCCTGGAATCGCAAGCGCACGTGTGCTTTATATAGATTTCATCCTAGCGCTCCACCGCATTCTCCCTTCTCACCTTTTAGCATCGCCGCCTTTCGTTTTTGGTTCAACCCAAAACAATCCCCACCCACCCTCGCTCGTGTTCGCTCTCCCGACCGTTTGCGATGGCGCCCATGGGTTTGGCAAACCGCCACCCCCGCTTTACCATCTCCCTCGTTATCCTCGTCTTCTTGTCCACTCTCTTCTTCTTCAACGCCGATTCCGACAGCACTCCCTACGTCCACTTCAAGTCCAGCTCCAGTCTATCCCAGGACCTCTGGGATGAGGAAAGGCGGTACCACGACATGCTCAAGGGTCGCAAGGACCTTATCCGTACATGGGGCCCGAGCCCAGACAAGGTCGTCGCGTGAGTCCTTCGTAGCGTACGCTCACGGACGATCGAGTGCTGAACAGGACACTGTTATCCAACAGATTCCCCGTTAAACCCAAGGATGACTTCTACACGCTCTGTAAGTCGTCGATTGTCGTTGTTCGACGATGCGGGGTAGTCCCTGACACGTGATTTCCAGGGGACTTCTTCCTACCGTCGTTCAAATGTCCCCATCACTTGGAGAGGATCGGCATTATGGGTGATGGTGGAAAGTGGACGTGCGGCCTCGAGCGGATAGAGAATAAGAAGAACTGCGTCATGTACGCGTTTGGTGCGTCTTCCCGTCTCTTGCTTACGGTTCGATAGCTCTAACGTTTCGATGCAGGTATCAACGGCGAGTCGTCGTTCGAAGCGGACGTCATGAAGCGCGCCAAGGGTTGCGATGTTTGGGGATACGACTTCAGTGTCAACTCGGTACGTCCTCGTTCTTCGCATCAATGCCCCGTTCGTCTCGTTTCTAACTGCGAATCTCTACGTAGTTTGGTCCCGAAATCGAGCAGGACTCCTCCCTGCGCGCGCGTTCCCACTTCTTCCCCTATGCCCTCGGCCCTCATGACTCTCCCAACGGCGACCCTCCGACATACACCCTCCAGACGCTCATGAAGCGCAACGGCCACAAGTTCATCGATATCCTCAAGATCGACATCGAGGGGAACGAATACGACTCGCTCCACTCCTTCTTCGACTCCTTCCCAGCCGACGCTCCATTGCCCATCGGTCAGGTCCAGATGGAGGTGCATGTCTATCAGGGCAGCGAGTGGAACTACTTCCCCAAGTTCCTCGCCTTCTGGGAGAAGCTCGAGGAGCGGGGCCTCCGCCCGTTCTTCAGCGAGCCGAACATGGTGTATGCGAACCTCATCAGGGATCTGCAGCCAGGTCTCGCCGAGGTATGTCGTGTTGCTTCCGTCCCCCGACGTTATTTTGCTAACGTCGCCCGTTCTTGTTACAGTATTCCTTCATCAACATCAAGGGCGACCACGAACTTGTCCGCGACGTGCCACACAAGCGCGGTCGCGCATACCCTCCGCCTCCGCGAGGCCCACCGCCGCCTCCGCCGCCTCCACCGCCCCCGCGTGACTGAGCTCAGTCTAGACGAACGTCTTAGGACTACATTCGTAACGTTAACGTCACCAATCGGACTCTTGCATACCAACAGTAATACTGTTTCACGTACATATTCCCGATTACCCAACACGTTGCTGCCTGCGGCACGTCGCATCCGCGTCTGAGTCTCGTTCGTGTACCTTATCACCTCGCGTTTCGATAATAACAGTGCGTTGCATTGAACGTGTCAGTGTTTTAGTCTTCGAGAGTTAACTTGGACCACAATATAAAGGAAGGTTGTGACGCGTTTAGTGCACGCCGTTGGTCCTAACTGGTCTGTGTCGCGATCACATTCACGACAGCATGACCAGTCATGACACTTACGATTTACTTACATTTCACGCATTGTCGCTGAAGTCGCAGCTTCACTTCTTGGTGCAATAGGTCACGTGACCGGCTACCTCAATAACCGGTCACATGACCCGGTTCGGATACTTTACATTACCGGCTTACTTAATCATTCCATGACATTCCCGGACATTCTATATGATATCATCATGATGTCACCAACGCGTCACCAACGTGTCATAACTGACATCACACATACGTCACTCGTTTACCATTAGTAGTAGCCCCTCGCACTGCTTGGTCTGTGCACCCACTGTCCTTACCATAGTAGGTAGTCTGTTTGGCTCAACCAAACATCATGTACTTGTATATAACCTGAGCAATCTACGCCCCAAGACTCTAAGTGAGTTCTTGTGGGAATTCCTCCTACAGTTCTGCGCCTAGTCTTGCCACGTCAGCGAGCAGTCAATACTCCTCATCCCCATCCATCCCTCTCGGCGTCATCCTGTACAGGGCTTCGTCGTCTTCTTCTTCGTGTGGTCTCGCGTGTAGTTGGTTTCTGGGGCTCGCGCCTTAGGAGTCGCTCACAAAAGAACTCACTTCCCTCTACCCCCTAAACCAACCCTTGCCGCATTCCGGCGGCGTATTCGCCGGAGCCCTATTTACGTACTGCCGAGAGTCGGCTTCTTCGGGACCCCGTTTAAACCTTTTACGTAAGAGCTGGGCACTAGGCCCTTAAACGTACCAAGGCATTAGGCCGGGTGGCAAAGCGAGAGGCAGGGAGAACCGCGAGGCTCCTGATTGCGTGACTGCACCTCTATTACCATAGTTCAACTTCTTTGGCTTCGGCCGCGTCCTCGTGAGGCGCACTTCTTGTAGGGCAGTAGGGCAGTAAAATAGCAAGTGCCACCATCCCGAGATTCGAACGAAGTAGAGACCGGTGGTTAAAGTGGTCCTCAAAGACCTGCACACCGCGACTCCTTCTAGTAGGGTTTTTGGAGGCTTTGTGGTCAGGAACGACGTACCGGGGCTAGCCGAGCAGCTTCCCTAAGGGTCCGCGTTTCACTCGAGGAATTGTCGAAAGATTGGCTACGCGGGTTGCACCTAGTCTATAGGAGCGGTATCACCCCAGATCCCAATTGGGTCTAAGAGGTACCACCACGACGTGTTGCTTAGCACCGTGGAGAGCCCGTGCCCAGTCGACGTTTGCGCCAGCAACGACACAGAAGTCACCTGTGCATCTCGTTGTCTGGAGTATCTCCTGTACTCTCTATACTATAGTCAGGTGTGGGGAAAGGCTATTGGCCCCAACCGAGTCACAGCGGCCCGACACTGTTTACTATACCCATATTTTGATATATTATTGAAAGTCGGGCATGTCCAAAAATTCTGAAACTTGGGGGTCTTATAGTACCTTATGGGTGTACCCCAATGCCCAAGTTTGAAGGAAATCGGCGGTTCCGTTTTTGAGCTACACCCCCCCCAAGTTGCGTAATTGGGGCTGGGAGGGCAGCACACATCTTCTCCAATTGTTTTCCTATCGTCTTGCAGAGATCACCAATGAATTCACAGACCTTGAAAACCCCAGGGAACACTCCTTCCTGATTTTTCCTGGCCCTCCCTGAATTAATGTGGCAGCGCCAAGTTGGAGGGGGGGTACGAGGAGCACATGGTCCTAGCGCTGGGCTGAAGCACAGGAAAATTATGGGACCTGTCCCATCGTTTTCAGCGCCCCAAATAACCCCAGGATACACCCCCACACCACCTCTTTACCTGCCCAAACTCTATAGTAACAGTGAATGGGATCTGCCCACAGGGACCATGCACACTGAGTGTATGATTTCAACCATCCCTCCCATGGATGCAGGGAGTGCACCAATGGATTAACACGCCTTGAAAACCCTAGGGAGAGCATCACACATGTCCCTATGCTCAGCCCCTGAATTAATGTGGCAGCACTAACTTTGAGGGGGGGTACGAGGAGCACATGGTCCTAGCACCAGACTGGGGCACAGGAAAATTATGGGACTTTCTCCATAGTCTTTGGCAATGCAAATGGCCTCAGGGCACACCCTCATATCACCACTTTCCCTCCCCAAACTCCATAGTCACAATGAATGGGATCTGCCTGCAGGTACTGTGCGCGCTAGCTATGT